TGTGATGTTTTTTCTCCAGGTTTTGGATTTTTGGTTAGGACATCCCTGGTCATCAGTGTCAGAAATCCTTTGTGGGTGGTGTGGGTAAGGTAACAGTCCTTAATGCTTACCTCAGAAACCAGGAAAGGCACCGAAGGAACTCATTGGTGGTACAAGGTTTCCTCAGCAAAGTCTGTTTACAAAGCATTTACATTTGCAAACTCTCTAGCCCAGGGACTTTCCCAGCAGAGAAATTTCCTGGGAAGAGACAATGTGTTGCGGCACAGGTTCCTGACATCTGGTTCTTCTGGTGTCACAGCTCAGATCCAAAATACTCAAGAGTGTAAGCACCCAAGGACACAACTGTTTGACTCCAACACTGGTACTGTTAGAACCAAAGAATCGTTTCACCACAGACCATCATGTTTTGTTGTTCTCTGCAAGCGCTAGAAGACTTCATAGTGAAAAATCAAAAACTCTCAACCTTGTTGCTGAACTTGCCCTTCCGGAGGAATTCTGATTTGACCTATCCACCCCAGAGTAAATGGAATTGTCACCTTGCCCTGTGGTTGATGAGCTGAGATTACCACATTGTGAACATTACAACTTCGATCTCACAGGAGGATCAACTAGCTATGGACTCAAATGGCTAGAACAAATAGCTAACCTAAAGACTGATTTCATATTTGTTCTTTATTCAAATATACTAGTGCATTCAGACAATCTCTGCAACAGTTCCCAGAGAAGAAACTACGTAAGACATGGTCTGGTAACTCCTTGTAACAGCGGTCTTAATTTCAGCAAGAGTAGAATCAGCTTTTAATTCCTGAGAGTAATTATTGTTCCTAGTAAATGGCGACTGAAATTTGATTATGTTGCTGCAGCATTTCAAGAGATGTCTACTTAATAAGAAACAAATCCATCTGATTTCTGAAAGTGTTTATAAGGTTTTATTTATTTACAGCCCTAAATTTGTTCCAAATCACTCAGAACTAACAAGAGGGGACACGCACTGAAGTTCATTCTGTTGCCCACTTTAGCAGGGGACTCCTGCCTCTGTGGGTACTTGGGACAGGCTCTTCCTACCCACTTGCACCCCAGTCCTGTTGTTCTGCACCAGCTTGGCTATCACTTTACAACCCATCAGCATTCAAGCCTGCAGCTACGGTCTTTGCAATGTTTATCAAAGAGGGGACAAGTTTCTGGTGATTTGTAAAGCTGTTTTGAGCTTTAGTCCAGAAAACCTGACTATCTGTGTCTTCCCAACACACCACTGACCCATCTCTGAGAGACAGTAACACAAGATAAGTAACTTATTTTAGGGCTCTGAATTGTACCACACTTACCCATGCTCTCAATCTCTTCCCCAACTCACTCCCTCATGTTTCCTCTTCAGGGTACTCCTTATTTCAAGCCATGAGTTGTGCTTGGGTTAGATACATGAAATGAGAAGCAAAAGCTACAGGGTATTTGCACAGTACTGAGCCAAACACAGGCTTTTATAGCTGCTCTGCAGTCAAAGTTAGACATTCTTAGACTTCAGGGGCCAGGCGTCAGCGTGTTGCTATCAGATTTCCTACAGAAGATCTGAGGTGAGGCTATGATTAGCAATAGATGTAAATGTACCCCAGAAGCAGGCAGAGCCCACACCTTCCCTGTCACCACCACTCAAACACTCTCCCACGCTTTGCCTCTCAACCCACTTCCTCTGTCCCACACCATCTCTCTGCCCTGGGTTCACTTTGCTCATTCCTTTCCACACGCTGTGTGACACACGCAAGCCACCACTTAAAGGAGGTGATACACCGCGTCACACTGGCCTCCACAAGTGCCAGCCTCTTCTGACAGACTTGCTAGTGAACCGTGAAACCTGGGCTTCAAAGCTGTTGCTGGCTCACTGAAACGTATCAGAGTAGTATACTGCTTTTGCATCTTCTTCTCAATTCCCAGAGATTTAAAACCAGCAGCACCTTCCAAAAAGCATGATGTTTTTACAGGAGTACTAGTACTTATGGCAGGAGACAGTCTCTGGGGAACAAGAGGAACACAGAACAAACAAAATTCCCACAAGCATCCGGCCTTTGTAAAGTTTACTTAGAATACATGACCTTTCCTAAGCTTTGGAAATTATTTTGTTTGACAGTGGATTGTTTAGCTCTAAGTGTTCACTTGGATTTCAAAGGCTTAGCAGATTTCCACAGAGCATATCTAGGCACTGCCACAGATGCACCTTTGCTTTGATGTTGACTGAGTTACTCAGAGCACATACCTTTAACCAGATAATCTGTTTCTGCAGAAAGAACCTGAGACCTTTTCTTGTCTTTGTGCATAACTCACATTCCTAAACTACTCCAATACCTGATCTTATTTATAAGCTTAATCTCAGCTCATATCATATTCCCCGAGGAGGGAAGAAAAAAACAGTGTCTTCTGTCCAAGTTGGGCCCTGACTTTGGCTTTAGCTTCCGGAAAGAGCTCTCAAAACCCAAAAAAATCCTGAAGGCAATGGTGTGCAATGACTTAACACACAACAAGATGATGCAAAAGACTGGATGCTTATGAAGAGAAAGCATTAAGATCCTTATCACTGTATACAGAGCAGAGACTAGGATGAACAAGCAATATACTGGCAGGCACCATGCCACTGTGCAGGCAGAGGTGAAGCAGAAGGGCAGAGCAAGGTTAATTCACAACTCTGGTAATTCACAGTCTGTCAAATGCTATTTCAGAAGACTTAAAATTTACTGAGCAGGCAAGGTAGATTCATTAGCAACATGACAATTAAATAACAGAATTTATACAGCTCTCTGAGCAAATAAAAATCTGACAATGAGTAATGGAAAGTCAGTATTTAATAAAGGACAACTACCATCCTCTGAACTATATAGGCATACAGTAGCTACTTACCACAGTAAGTCTGCAGGAGTGTGGCTGGTTATCTACACTGAGAATGATTCACCTCAATACCAGTTAACTACACTGAGAGTGATTCACCTTAATACCAGTTAACTACACTGAGAGTGATTCACTTCAATATCCAAATCATCGCCAGAGTAAAAATAAAAATGTGCACAGATGATCATTCATAGAATCATAGAACTATAGAATGTTTTGGTTTGGAAGGGACCATTAAAGGTTGTACAGTTCCAACCCCCTTGCCATGGGCAGGGACATCTTCCAATAGACCTGGTTGATCAGAGCCTCGCCCAACCTGGTTTTGAACACTTCCAGGGATGAGGCATCTACCACCTCCCTGGGGAAGCTGCTCCTTCACTGCAAAAACTTCTTTCCTTATATATAGTCTAAATCTATCCTCTTTTAGTTTAAAACCACTTCCCTGTTCTGTTGCTGCAGGCCTTAGTAAAATGTCTCTCTAACCTTTATTGCAGCCCCTGTTTAGGTACTGGAAGGCTGCTATAAGGTCTCTCCCGAGCCTTCTTTTCTCCAGGATGAACAAGCCCAGCTCTCTCAGCCTGTCTCTATAGGAAAGGTGCTCCAGCCCTCTGATCGTCTTCATGTTCCAACTCTCCAATATCCTCACTCCAACAGGTCCATGTCCTTTGTATGCTGGGGACTCCAGTACTGCAGGTGGGATCTCATCAGAGCAGAGTAGAGGGGCAGAATCACCACCCTCGACCTGCTGGTCACGGTACTTTTGATGCAGCCCAGGTACAGTTGTCTTTCTGGGCTGTGAACACACACTGCCAGGTGAGCTTCTCACCAACCAACACCTCCAAGCCCTCCTCTTCAGGGCCCTCTGTCCCTTCATACACATTCTGCTACTCCTGTCTCTTTCCCCATCAAGAGAAAATGCCATCCACTGGATTATGACCAATGGTTCAGTATGGTCCACTGAACATTCTGCTACTGATCTTTAGCATCTGCATGCATCATTCATTTAGTAATTATTCTGAACTCATGTATATTAGAAATGCCTAAGAAAAAGATGCAGAAAAAACACCCAGTATTCCAGCAGAACAGAGAGATATGACAGTCCCAGAAGGGGACTTTACTAGCTGTGCCAAGATATTCCTACTGCAGTGGTGGCACAGACTAGTACTGAGTGTGCAAAATGTTACCCTGCAACTCACTTAAAAGAGCAGCTGCAGATCAACCACAGGAGAGAATAAATAATTAAATGCAGGAATCACCTAGTAGTAGTTGTTATAAATATTTATCATAAGGTGTTAAAAAAATGAATTGTTTTTGATTTACGATACCAGAAGATACTTCTTTACCACTCAAGAAAACATTCACTTTATGAAAAAGAAAAAAAAAGACCCCTAAAAACATACCTTGTCACTGTAGCTGAAAAGAGAACTATTTCAATTAAAAAAACTTCTCTCTTCATCCTTAAGGTTTGTTTTTTGTTTTTTAAGGTAGGTTAGACAAAACTGCTAAATATGCAAGCAGTGAAAGGAGTTAACTCCACCTTCACTGTGCCTGTCTCCTCACAGCTGTAGTGGAAAATCTCATCTCTATCCTCACCAACGGCCAAGAACATCTAGAAGGAATTATGACCTGGTTTGACTGCATATGGAAAAGAGGGAGAGGCGTAGGAGCCCTTATTTCCATCCCACGTTATGCTTCATGAAAATACCAAGTGCCCAATCAGCCCCAGGAGCAAAGTCCTCACATGCTTCCTCCAGGCACTGCAGGAAGCTTACATCTTCAGCTAGCCTTTGCTGCACTTCTCTGTATCCCTGCATTTGCAGAAGTTCTTTGAGCTTCTGCAGCTGGGTCAAGCCATAGTAAAGATACCAGCCTGAAAAGCAGGTCCAGTTCGCTTCCCCAGACTCCAACAATGACATGTCCAGGTATGCAAGGTTCCTCTCGATTTCCCTTTTTAATCTGCTGTATAGAAGATGCAAAAAGACAACTAAACCAAGGCTGGATTATCTTCTAAAGTAAAGTTAACTACTACCTCGAAAAAAGAAATGGGTCAAGTTTCTCTTTAAAAGATTGCTATTAAAAACACTTCAGAGAAGTATGAATATCTAAAATATAACAGGGAAAATGTATTGCAGAAATTATTTATTTCATGCCAACTCTTTGACTAGATATTTTAACACACATTGCAAAAATGTATCCAGTACAACCATAATTTAGAAGACTACAGAGAAAAAATTATAACTTGAATTTCAAAACAAGGTGTTATGCATACATACGTGTATCATAAGGCAAATGAAGATAGTCTATCCATAAACTGCACTCCTACAGCCTATATTAACACACACTGGAGAATGAGTATCTTTTATCACTAAACCTATGTTTACAAAGGAACTCCCTTGTCTTCCAGACACCCCTACAGAAATATAAGCTATTTCTATAAAAAATACTTAAGTTTCTACAGTGGTAACTAAGCTGTCAGTCTGAAACTTATAACTCACAGGAATATGTCAAATATAACATTATCCTTAAGAAATAACTGAAGTTCCATATTATTATTGCCTGTCAATTACAACTGAAAAACACATACTCACACAAAAGCAAGCTGAGGAAGACATTCCAGTGCCTTTTAATAGAAGAAAGAATAAACCTGATTGGGTTTACTGTATGACTGAAATGGAAGATGCCAAATATAATCAACATAGTCAATGACAGCATTTAATGTATTAGAAAGGGATCTAGTTCAAGGTGCTTTTTTGCTAGCAATGCTGAGTTTCTGTAAATGTAATCAAATGGTGTAGGAGTGTCTCAGCTTCAGATTAGACTACTTAATTTGAGGCACAGCTAGTATTACAGAACTGCCATAAAGAAGTACATACTCCTGCAGAGCCTATGAGGGAAGAGGAATGTAAAAGTTGCAGAAAGTTTACAAGATTCACAAATAAATTGCTCTGAAAGAGAATTTAATAGTTTTCTGAATTTTAAAGAAAAATTGCTGGAGACAATATATATACCTTAAGTAGTATGTTTGTTAATAATTAAGATGTACGTATTTGTCTGTAATTATAGGTCTGTTTTCTTTAAGAAGCCCCATAGTAAGTTTTCCTTCATAAAGGATCTCTATTTGTATTGTAAATGCCCCCCAGAGTGAAAGTAATTACAGAAATAATGAAAATTTGAAGAAAATATTGTATTTTTCCTGTAACATTTAAAGTATCTGAAGATGAATTTAACAAAATATAACCCATGATAATTACAGAAAATCAGAATAATCACTTTTTAAATACTTCATATATAAAAATTATTGTCATGGTTATGTTTTTAAATAGCAAGAATAAATACTGAATGATAGCAGCTTTCTGCCACTTTCATTAATACTGTTAATGACTATTTTACAAGTGCTTGATTGCAAAATAAAGGCAGATTATATACCATGCTTTTTCCAGTAGTGTAAGTTACAGCAGTATAAAGTTTGTTTCTTAACATGCTATCATACCTAAATAATAAAATATATTACATTTTGCCCAAAGTGTCACTATTAGCACAGACTAGAATTTGCATATCCTTCACTCAAAGACTCCCTCACTTCACAGCTAAGGGATGCACCTTTCTTAAGAAGAGTGCACAGGACTCATTTCCCACTACAGATATTTGTATCTTTAAATGCCTGAAAGAACTACAAATTCAGTAGGAGCAGTAAATTTGACTAGAGATTTTTGTTATCTGTACTTTTTACGAAATCCAACACTGACCCAGTATTGAAGTATCTACTGTTTTCATTCCCACATTTCAAAGTTCATTACAACTCACATGGATTCTTTTCACGGGTTTAAATCTTTGACATGAAAATATTCAAGTGCTTGCACTTAACTTTGGTGGGCTTTTTGGTGTTTTGTTTTGGTTTTTGTGCTCACAAATGAATTCTGATGAAACGTAAGTACACCCTAACTGCTCAATAATTCAAAAAGAGGAATAATAAACAGAGGATGTGACATTCCTTAGCTGCAAATAAATACAGCTATATACTGACATAACATATATGCCAACATGTTTAGCTCCCTAAAGTACAGTTTGCAAGGCAGTTACATTTTAAATCACCTAATCTGGAACATCAAATACAATGCAAGAGAACTATTAGCCTACAGTGTATTCACTGCCAAACATACCAAAGCTAGTTTTAAATTATTTTAGTTGTGGTGCTGTTAGGATTAGAGCTATAGTAGCGAAGAATTTGTCAAGAGTTGCCACAGTCTGGCTGGGAATCATCACAGAATCATAGAAGGGTTTGGGTTAGAAGGGACCTTTAAAGATTATCTAGTTCCAACCATGGGCAGGGACATTTTCAACAAGATCAGGTTGCTCAGGGCCCCATCAAGTTGCACATAGCCCCCATGTTCTGCATTATTTGTACTAGCAGTAACCAAGCTAGTTTAAAAGTAGCCCAAGCACACAGCAAATGCTGTGCAGGCATATCCCTTATTTCTACAGTGTTCTTTTACAGCTGTACTCTCTATTTCTTTGTTGGAAGTCTTCCTAATTTACTCATAGGAACTCATAACTAATTTTCTAAACATACTTCAGATTAATTTGCCTAAAAATTGCATATAATTAGGGCAAGAGTAACTGTTGGTCAGCAACTATCAACTCCTTACTTAAACACCCAGTATATCCTTGGAGCACATTACCACAGAAATCTCCAAGCACAATCCAGAGAACTCTTGAGAGACTTTCAGAGCTCAAAGCAGCCGTTGGTTAACTCCATTACTCCACTGCAACATCAAAAAAAGGTCACTGGATTCCCACCTCAATAAACTCAGCCATTCTGTTAGCAACTGAAATCCCACTGCCATTAACTTGCACAGTCAACTCCATAAATTACCGTATCCCAATGAAAACTGCACAGAGGGCTTACACTGAGGACTAGTTAGCTTTCATGTATAAAATCCGTATCAAGTTTCCACTGAAAATTCTGGTTCTAGCCATTCCACTGATTTCTGAGAGAGGAAAAAACCCCAAACAAACCAAGCCCAAGAAAGCCTGATCCAATTCTCTGAAGTCAGCAGGGGCTAGGTAAGGATACTTCACAAGAACTCAGAATAACAAACATTCCTTCTATAATTTTTCAATTAGCACTGAATTAGATCCCTTTGTAGTGACATTTTCAAGAGTTAAACAAAGAACCTGAACCTTATTTCATCCAAAGATTTTTTTTTTTACAAATAAATTTTTTGGCAATTAAATGAGACACAAGTTTTAAAAATAGAAATATCACATCTAAGAACATTCACGTGGATTAAAGTCCAGGAATAGATACAATCCCCTTCATGTAAGGCTGAATTCAGAATAGATCTAAATTAAATTAAATAGGTGCTAACATAAAATTGCTAAAGAACAATCTGAATAAAAAGAGTCTCGTTTTCTTAACTACGAGTCCCTGATACCACCCTAAGATTTTGATCAAGCTTTTACAGTATAAAAAATACCAAAACTAAGAAAGTGCCTCTTACAGGTAATCTGGAAATTGTATTATGCCTTGAATACATGTGGACATGGCTGTCGTTCAGTGCATTCACCTAAAAAAGGAACTGACGATTACTTCATGTCTGCTAATTTATTAATATAAGTATTTCTATACAAATAGAGTATTTTTTCTCCTTCATAATAACAATTAAATGTTTTAAAACAGGCAAACCAATATATTACACATACCACTACTGTTAGAACACATGATCTACTAAATCACAAGAGGTAGTTAGATCCCCATTAACAATTACTTCAGAAACAAAGACTACTTTTAAAAATCAGTAGAACATCTCATTCATAAAAAATTTCTTTTCGCAAGAACTCATTCCTAACTGTTTTAAGGGATGTCTGTTTTTTAAGCATGATAAAGAACTTATAATGAAAACATGTTCTCTTTCAGTTTTCAACATAACTTCGCAGTAAGAATGTAAGAAAATCCCCAAGTGGTAAAGACTTAAGACAAGCTGCAATAATACAACATTTTAAATAAAGCAAATTTCCAAAGATATAATGAATTTGATCACATCTTTTACCTTATGATTACAGTTCAGAATTCTTTCAACTAACTACACTTTAAAAATAAATCTACACCAATGAAATTCATGTGAAGTTTTTTTTACACTGTTAGTAATTGGCATTTTTGAATGGCATTCAAATGACTAAGCATTGTTCTTTTTGCAACAAGTTACTGCAAAACACAGGCACCTTAAAAACAGATACATAATGCAACCAGGGTATTTGGGACATTAAAAGTGTTTACCATTATCCAGTCATGCTATGTATTTCCCTTCTTTTAAAGGAATATGCTACAATTTGAAGCCGTGCCCGAGTTGTGTGCAAATTATAGTTTCAGCATTTAAATCAATTTTCACATTATATTTCTTTTACAGGTACAAAAATGCTAGTGTGCGAAGATTTTCAACCATTACAACTGCAAAAAATCTTAAATCAGATTTATATCTTTGATAACGCATTCCCGCTATTGCACATATGCTCATATGACAGTGAAACTATGGTCAATCGATTTCAAATATTTACACACGCTAAAATTATTTATCTGCATATAATGTTGGAAAAGAAAAAATACAGCCTTTCTTGACCAATACAGCTTGCTTCAAAATTAATACCACCAAATTTCAGAGAATCATAAAATACCAGGTTGGAAGGGACTGCAAGGATCATGTGGTCCCACCTTTCCTGGCAAAACACAGTCTAGACAAGGTCCCAGCACCCTGTCTGGCTAAATCTTAAAGGTGTCCCATGCCAGGGAATCCACCACTTCCCTGGGGAGGGTACTCTAACGACTGTTCTCACTGCGAAATTTTTTTTTTCTCCCCAACCTGTGCCCAATAACCTTCATCTTTTCCATGTGACTCCATGTAGAAAGGGAATCCCCTTCTTCTTTGCAGCCACCCTTTAAATACTGGAACATGTAGTTTATGACTTTGTGAAGACAGCCTGCCATTCAATCTTTCTGCTTAAACACGGTCTGATACATGACCTGGGGGTGCTGACTGATGGCCGGCTGAACATGAGCCAGCTTGTGCCCAGGCAGCCAAGAAGGCCAACATCATCCTGGTCTGTACCAGCAACAGTGTGGCCAGCAGGATCAGGGCAGCAATCATATCCCTGAACTCAGCACTGATGGGGCTGTACCTCAAATCCTGTGTTCAGTTCTGGGGCTCTTACTACAAGAGCAACATTGAGGGGGTGGAGTGGGTCCAGAGAAAGGCAACGGAGCTGGTGAAGGGTCCGGAGCACAAGTCTGATGAGGAACAGCTGAGGGAACTGCGAGGGTTTAGTCTGGAGAAGAGAAGGCTCAGGGGCAATCTTATCCCTCTCTACAGCTACCTGAAAGGAGGTTGTAGTGAGGTGGAGGTCAGTCTCTTCTCCCAAGTAACAAGTGGTAGGACAAGAGGAAATGGTCTCAAGCTGCACCAGGGGAGGTTTAGATTGGATATTGGGAAAAAATTCTTCACAGTGTGGGTAATCAGCCATCGGAACAGGCTGCCCAGGAAAGCTGAAGTGTTCAAAAACCATGTAGATGAGGGCCTCAGTGACACAGTATAGTGGCGGTCTTGGCGGTCCTGGGTAATGGTTGGACTTGATGATCTTAAAAGGTCTTTTCCAACCTAGTTGATTCTATGATTCTATTATTCAAAGACCACTGAAACCCAAAGAAGCCTTAATTTCATTCAGTAGATTTTGGACTAGGCATTAAGTTATAATAGAAAAAATACAGAAAGTGTTTATTATAGTAATTGACAAAACTGCACTTTGGATGCATTAAAATGCTCTCACAGCACCTGTTAAAATACAAAAAGATTCCTTCTGAAAAATCCTTTTCCTAAAACTTAAAATGTTACAGCAAGTTGAGCCCCAGGTATATTTATGAAGTTTACACTCTATTAATTTTTTCTCCTTTTGGTCATGACACAAAAACCCACACTGATGGACAACAATATCTACAATAGAAGAAGCATATTCTTGTCATATACAGGTGCATTTCCAAAATAGTTGTTCCTTCATATTCATATTCTAAAGAAATATTATCTTCTCTGGTTCAGTGATATATCATAAATACAGTATTTTCCAAGCAATGAGCGGGAATAGATTTCCACTGAATTTTCCTTTAGCTTTGAGGAGTTTAGACATCATCAAATATTTTGCTCCGAGACATCGACAGGTATCTTCCACCAGGCTGGTACCTGCAGAATCAATTTTAAACATGAAAAAGTATCAAGGGAAATAGAAAAATAAAGACCCAAGAAATCATGTAACTCACTGAACTCTTACTCCTTCACTCTCAATGAATTACATGATCTGGAGCTCTACTGAATTACTGTTTCCATGAGAATTTCATAGGCAGTCATTAAATTAGATCTCATGTGACCAAAAAAAGCAGTGATATGAATACTGGGAGTCTTAAAGAACTTCGTTTCCTCATATAAAGAAAAGAAGTTGAATGTTTTTATTGAATAGAACTTTTTCCTAAAAAAATAAACCAAACCAAACCAACAAACCCCCAAAACAAACAAAACAAAAAACTAAAACCCAACAAAACCTACCAAACCCCCCAAAACACACCCCCCCCCCCCAAATCATCAAAACCCAAACAAACGAAAAACCCAACCAACTGACAGTAAAATTCCAAACAAACAAAAACCCCAAACCAAACAACAGCATCCAAAAGTAGTTTGGATGATTAATAGTACATCTCAGTGGGTATTCCTAGGAGAAATAAGAGTTTCAAAGATAATGAGAACAAATAGCTGCACTCTTAGTGGGAAAAAGCCTCACAACTTGTTGGTCAAATCTATTTTAAAAGCATTTTAAAAGCACATACAAGTCTCAGTGAAAGCACAATGTACTTCCTCTCTGCAGTATTTCCCAAAACCTGAATAGACTTCATGCCAGAACCTAGTGTTCCTAAAGCTCTTACTGTCCTAGAACACTTGTAACTACCACAGAAGTTATAGTTTAAAAAAAAAATAAAATAAAAAAATCAATGTTACTATAATGAGCTATTTTTAAGTGAAATGAAATGTCATATACGATTATTTTTGATTTATTACTTCTATGAAATCAATGCAGGTTACTAAAAAAGAACACAACTAAGCTCTGTGGCTCCAGATTTTCTTTAAAAAAAAAAAAGTTCAGAATGTTCCACTCTACAAAATCTGTATAAGTGCCAGAAGACTTCAGATACTGTACCTGAAAAGTATTTGCTCCAAAAGAATTATATATGTATATTCCTATTTTTGTAGACTATTACCCCTTTCACACTGTCCAGAAATCAACAATTGACAAAAATGTTAGGCTAGATCTTCTTTGAATTCTTGTGCTTAAAAAGAACCAGCTTTTGAAATGTGGCAACACTGGACTAGACAAGTTAGTTGTTGATGTAAACTAACATTGCTGACATGATCTGAAAAACTGGCATTGTCATTCAATAGCGTGATTTTGGCATTTATTTTTTGACATTGTAAATATGAGTCAACTGTAACCATTCATGATTTTTTTAATTGGACTGGGCATGCTAGTTTTAGCTAAAAAATAATGTAAACTGTAACTTTTATATAGGAATTTAAAATTATTTATCATTAAATGATTCTACATCATAACTACCTAGATAAAAAAGCACCCATAAAATGTATTACTTGTTTCTTAAATACAAGCAGAGCTCAGCAGTCATGAAAAATACTCTATAGCATGACTAAGAGTTGTTGCAGCCACCACTACAGAATCACAGAATTCTCTATTACAGACAGAGCTACACTGTTCAGCTGGGAACTTTTTGTTCAGTAATTTCAGATTTAATTTATTAGTCCAGTCATTCCAAGATCTGATCCCCAGGTGTATTACTGAAACTAATGGTCTTGTAATATGCAGTTTTCTTTCTTGCAGCCCTCTATGATGATTTTTATACATGGAAATCAAATAAACTTTCTAAAGTCTTCTAGGAAATTAGAGAAAACCTTACATCACGCAGGTCATTCTCCAGGTTTCTGTTTTTATATGCAGTATATGCATATATGCAGTCTTTTTCAGATTATGCCGACATATAAAATTATACTTAACTCAAATTCTACTAAGACATTTCTATAAAAAAATGAAAAGGCTTCAGGTTTCAACTGGTTTTAAAACAATTACCGTATCATGGGGGAGAAGGAAGAAATGAAAAGAGCCAGGTAAAGTGGTAATTTTTGTTTACAAAACCTACTAGGAAGCCATTTGATACAGGTGTCATAAGTCAGAATACATTGTAAATAAAGACAGAAGACCCTCACCTTCCAGAGTCCGATTCAAGAGGGTCATCATTAATTGAATCTGCATTAAAATCCAAAGGTTCTGCATCCTGAAGAAGTTCTATTCTATCTCTTTCAGTCCTGCCATTTGATCGGGTATACTTTGACAGAGCTGAGTAGGTAAAAGGAAGGAAAGACACTCATTTGCTTTATGAACACCTTGGAGAATGTGAAATCATCAAACTTTAAATACCAGAATAATAAATTGCTACTAAGTCATCCAAAGTTTAGCTATGATGATTTAGAGTAGATTAGATATTAAACTAACCAACTACATGCTCAAATTCATTGTATTCAAATTAATTTTTGCATGTCCATAGAAACTACAATTATCATTTTGCCCCTCAAGTAAGATGAGATCTACTTTGCAAAGAATGGACGCATGCCAACCTCATGAAGTTTAACCATGCCAAGTGCAAGGTCCTACACCTGGGTCAGAGCAATCCCAGGAACAGCTACAGGCTGGGCAGAGAACAGGTTCAGAGCAGCCCTGTGGAGAAGCACTTGGGGATGTTGCTCGATGAGAAAATGAACATGAGCTGGCAGTGTGCGCTTGCAGCCCAGAAAACCAACTGTATCCTGGGCTGGATCAAATGCAGCGCAACCAGCAGGTCAAAGGAGGTGATCCTGCCCCTCTACTCTGCTCTCGTGAGACCTCACCTGGAGTATCGTGTGCAGTTCTGGTGTCCTCAACATAAAAAGGACATGGAACTGTTGGAACAAGTCCAGAGGAAGGCCACGAGGATGATCAGGGGACTGGAGCACCTCCTGTATGAAGACAGGCTGAGCAAGTTGAGGCTGTTCGGCCTGGAGAAGAGAAGGCTGCGTGGAGACCTCATAGCAGCCTTCCAGTATCTGAAGGGGGGCTACAGGAATGCTGGAGAGGGACTAATGAAGTACAGTGGTTTTGCAGTTCACTCTGCCACTTTCATTAGGCCAGTACCTACAGCTTGTTTCAGAATTGAAATGCCACATGTTCCTTTAGTTACATTAAAGTATAGAATATACTAATAATTTAATATAATCTCACAGTTAGGCTACCTCTGTAAATATGAGTTTGCAACTCTGTAAAGAGGAGGAGAAATCTACCAGATTTGTTGCGAAAGCATGTTCAGAGCTTGCTTTCTCCCCCACCTTTTCCCTTCTTTTTTTTTAAATTTCATTTCTTATTTGTCATTAGCTTACAAAAGGCACATAAAGTACATAAAAAAAACATTAAGACTGTGACAAATAAACTGTTTGGAAGTATGGAGCACCCACAAATGTTTTGTGCTAACAGACATTATTAGATGAGTACGTATACACTCATGTGATATGTTATTGATTTCACATTCATTGGCCATCTATCTGATAATTTAATTATACCCATCTGAGGAGTTACTTCGCAACTACAAGAGGTAGATTTAATATTTAAAATTGCAAACTTCAAGATATACCCTAAATATAACCTCTTTGTTGACAACTGCTACTCTCATTGCGGCCATTATATGTCCCATAAGAAGACCAAGGTGTTGAAACTAGCCAGAATCTCCAACCTCAACTAGAGAGAGTACAGAAGATGGGAAGAAACACAGTACTCTTTTCAGGTGGCTTTAACGGGCAAGATGGCACTGTGCCAAAGAAAGGAATATATTAGCACATCAACTAAGACAAAAAAGAATGTATTTGAAGCTACACACACAGCCAGTGTGGTGCAGGCAAGACATTAGAATAAAAAAACAAATCAAACTCCCCACAAACTCCATAAAGCTTACGTCTATTGGCATTGGCCTCTGAGAAACTGGATTCTTTTTGGTCTGTGTGGACAACTCTGTTTCTAGTGGAATCATCTCTATTTCCATATCGCTCTTTCCACTCCTGGGAAAAAAGATAAAATAAGGAAATGTAAGTGGTGAGGAAAAAGCAACACAACAAAAGCCTATGGAGAATCAAGACATATTCCAGATCTGCAATGTAGAGCTAACTGGTCAATTACATCATCCTATGAAAGCAACACTTTAAAAGTGTTCCTGTTCAGTATCTTTATACAGGAAGAACTTTGGTATGTATTTTAAACTCAATAAATCCCTTCACTAAACCAGTTACTGTAAAGTTCTTTAGAAAAAAGGCTTGCAGAAAACAAACTACATATTAAATCTGCATTCAAAGTTCACGACACTGCTCCAAATTATGGTGGGAAGGTTGCTTTTTTTAAGTTCTACTTCCATCTAGTGGTAGAATGGAAAAATAAACAGAAGCAGATAGCACAAAAATATTTGGACAAGCCATGTTTACTTAGCTTCTTGTTCTGTTGTGTTTCCATTCCATCATGTTTTAGTATGAAAACATCTTAGTATCAAGTGTAATGAAATATTAAAGAACAAGACATCTCATACTTTTATTAGGAAACAACTTCATGTCTCAACAAAAACTTTTCCTCCAAAGCAACTTTTCCAGAAAATTGCTCCAATAACTTCCAGTTTCATATCTAGATCCCAGATTATGGGCTGGTAAGAACTCTATACTTGAAGTTTCTTGCGCTAATTTATGCCATGTTAGTTCTAACCTGCAGAAGGATCAAACATTTAATCATGATCCAGTAAAAGAGAATACTCTCAAAAGCCCAAAGAGTTTCAAGAATTAAAGCCCAAAGAGTTTCAAGAATTAAAGCACTACAGTATTTAATGTAAACTCAAAAAACAGGTAACATCTGAAACTGAGTCTGCTGTTGAACCAGAATTGTTTATTAATGTCAGATCATTTCAGTGTATACTAAATGCAGCATGCCTTTGCTACTATTTTATTTAACAGTATGCTCAAGTTCTAAAGTTATGAGATGGGAAGAGGATCAGAAGAAAGGCCTGTCTGTCCTGGTTGTACTGGCTGTCATCCAGAATTAAAGTATTCCTGAGCTTGAAAAGCCAAGAGGTTTTAGTCCCAATATTATCCTACCTTTCTGCAGATAACATTTTTTCCCTTCCTTTAGTCCATTTTTTACATGCATCTTTTGATTTATCTCTTCATGACTTTCTATACTAAATTCCAAATGTTACAAACAAATGGAAAACTAAAGCCATAGTTAACTGATGCCCCTTAAAATGAAGCTGCCCGAATTATTTTTATCCAGATTGACCGCTTTCATAGATTTTTCAAGTCATTATGCACCGAAAGTCTGATCTGAATCAAACATTCTGTTTGTTACCCAGTGATGAAAGTATTAATTTTGTCTTAAATGTAATTCCATCCTCTGAAAACAAGCAAACAAACAAAAATCTGTGTCAATTACTTTCCAAAGGGCATACAAAGCAACAGGTACATTTGGGAGGAGTATACAGTCCCTAATTCAGTGAACATGATGACAGTGCAACTGCAGTTATTTCAAGCAGAGCAGTATCAACATAAGAGACTGACAATAAGCCATTTCAGATTATTCTGCATCCTAGCAATCAGGATTGTTTTTAATGCTTATTATACCTATTGGCATACGCTGCTCTCACAGCACAGTAACAAAAGTGACCAAGTAGTGTGACCAGAGTCTCTCTCTTACCCTTTAAAACTAAAATGTAAATTATTCCCCCCCAATTCCTAGCCAAGACTACTCTCCAAGATTAAACTGATTCCATCAATTACTGGGGACTTACATTTTTGTGAAATAGAACATGCTGAATTAAATAGCAATGGCGAATCCTATCAGATATTGCAGTATATTAATATTGTAATTAGCTAAAACAATCTCATACCCTTCTTCTGTTTTCACCTTCTTCCTGCCTTTGACGTTTTCTTTTCTCTATATAAGAAAAAAAAAGAACCAGCTGAGCTCCATACAAGAAAAAACATTACCAATATTTTTTAACCAACAGTGAAAACCCAAAGTTAACTTGCTAAGATTCCTACTTACATAGAAATAAATAGCTCATACAATTAAATGAAAACAAAAGACAAAGCTGCTTGTCTATCATTATGGAGTTTCTTGTTGGAATTAATTAATCGTGATGGTATCTTGGGTCAAGGCATGACGTGGATACTAGCTAACAAAAAAAAAAGTAGTTGGAAAAAGTATGATGTTAAGAACAAACTTGAGCATTATCAAATTAAAATCTTGCTGAAGTTCTGGGAGGCCCAAAGTATTACCCAAATAGTTTGTGTCTGTATCTACTATACAGCTGTAAATGTAACATCTCAGCATCAAAGGATAGTAATCTCTTGTTTAAGGGAAGGAGAGACATGCATCTCTCTCAAAAAGAAAAAAATAAAAGAAAACCAAACCCAAATCCACAAAGAAACCTACTCTAAGAAAATCTAGGCTTTTTTAATAACTGTGAAAGAGGTCTAAAATTATTTCACAATATAAAATTGTATCCAAAGATTTTAATTTCTAAACATCGCTTTTAACAACTTTCACAAAATACTTTCAATAAGAATTACATTAAAAAATAAAAATCTTTCAAAGCCAGCAGATAATTACAGCTCTACAGAACAACATGTTTTCTGTGATAAAACACAGTTAGGTGAAGCAGCAAAAAACTGTAAAGGAGACAACAGAGTTTGGGCAGCTCATGACATAGTGTACTTCATAGGAATACTAGTGTCCTGGGTTCCGCAGTAGCAGTCATGTTTTTCCTTTGTGTTAACTGGTGCAGTGCAGTGTTTTGACTTTCAGCTCGGGAACAGAGCTGATAACAAGGATATTTTGGTTTGGCCAAGGACTTTGTGAGGCTCATGCTCTGCCAGGGAGGAGGGGAGGCTGTGAGGAAGCAGAGACGGGGCGCCTGACCCGGGCTAGCCGGGGAGGTATTCCATACCACAGCACGTCATGCCCGGGGTGAGGGGTAACTGGGAGTAACAAGCTACCTGACTGGGTTTAAACCACGACAACTAGGATAGACGACCCAACTTACCTCTTCTGATTAGCTCTTTCCCTTCATCAATCAAATCAGAGGTCATTTCATTATCCCCCATGAACTGCTGAAATCCCAAAAGATTCAAACAACGAGTTCCTAAACTGGTAAAGCCGGAGAAGCAATTTTGTTTGTTAACTTACAATGAATAGAGGTATTACAATGCAAAATGTGAAACAAATTACTCAGAAATTTATGGACAATTCAAGAATAAAGCAATATAGAAGACACATTATTATACTGAGAAATCAGAAAATTCACAATAGTGACATTTTCGCATATCCAACTGAAAGTGATGGAATACTCCTATTCAAATTGAGAATAACACTGTCTATAGTCTTGAGAGTAGTGATTTAAGACAATTGCTTGAAATGTTCTCACATATAACAAAATTTATACCCATGATATCTCATTGACTCTTCTTTGTCAGAAGACAATTACTACAAAAAACTCCGCCTATTAAGATATCTGTGGTTTTGAAATAGTAGCAACAGGAAAGCCACCTTCATCTCAGGTTTCACTCGGGAGAAACATGGCATATTCTTACACTGCAGGGATGCTGGCTGAATACACATTCGGCAGCAGTCAGATAAAAAGCTTGCTCCACTTTTTTTAACCTAGTCCTTGAATTAGACAGCACTAAACCACTTTCACCTTTTCAGCTTCACACTTGAGAACACAACTGCTGGTTTTGTTGCTGTTTTTCTCCAAACTGGTGTATCAATATCATGTTCAAAGTTGGCTTCATTGTATATTTACGCTGAAAAGCTTTTTTTGCCTATACTATCTGAACTTTAAGACTGCTGCATTAAACAGCTTTCCTTGATAGATTTTATCTAGTGTTTTACATGCATCTGAATTATTAGAGGGCAGCAAAGTCCTCGCAAAGCAAGCTCCTCTCCTCAGTTTCTTCTCTTCCTTTTCACTATGGCATTCAAGACCCAGGGTCACAGACAACAAGTCACACAAATTATTTTCTTCTTGTTGGCTTCACTGTTTTTTGAGGGGCTTTTTTGCTTGTTGGGTTTTTTTTCCCCTCCACCACCATTTTTGTACCCTAACCTAAAAGTAAGCATGCAAAAATAAGGACAGGATCCTTGTTGTCTTATTATATATGGATGCACGTAGGTTTTTATGGACAGATCAAGGTGTTTTACTACAATGTACATGAGTCATGCAAAATAAAGGAAGAGAACATAAACGTAGCTGGGCAAACCTACAGTATCTCAACCATTACAGAGCTCAAAAGCAAACATTTTGAAATGTAAGGATAAAGCAAGCATATAATATATATAGCAGTATTTTCTGTAACTACCCTTACAGCTGCCAAGAAATTGTGCCTTAGGGAAACAATATCAAACGATTTAAACCACTATATTTTCAAACTGAAGTCTGGTATGGATCAGAAAATCATTGTACCAATTAGAAAGTTTATTAACTACAGTTTCAGCTAATGCTTCTTAATATATTAGAAAACCTTGCTGAAAACAGTTTCCTCATGGTAATTTTAATCTCAAAAGCAGAATCTAAGCAGGCTCCAAAGTTTGAACAGATCTGACCTCAAAATCTAGGAATGAAGTTTAATGGGGAAAAAGCCTCCACAACTCAGTTATGAGTTAATATAATGAATATTCTTGAAATGTGTACATTTCACATATATAAACAGCTAGGTATTGGTTTAGGTTTTGCATTTTTGTTATTATTTCATAACTCATCTGCTGGAAAAGGAGAAGAGAATATCTCACTGATCACTGAAACTAATATTATTCATGTAAAGAAACACAGAGGATCTGTCTTGCATATCACTTACCTGAAGTATGTGGCAATACAGAGAATGACAACAAGCATTGGGTAATATATATAAAATCCATCTGCAATGAAGGATAGTACTCTCATGGATCCCATTATCTGGAAAAAAATTCCAAAACCAAGCTATAATCAAGTATTTTCTACATATATCCATAAAGATTGTCCCACCTTACTGTTTTCAGTCCACAACACACAAACACAGAATCCTTTACATTTACTGAAAATCAGTCAATATCATTATCACAGATCTGCTTCAGACACTTGACCCAGAATAAGCAGATATAAAGGCTGCCTCTAGCAGTGTATCCACTTCGAGGTTTCCAAGATGCTTGATCTTGTCTCACCTAATCCAGAACCAGTTCAAATCTGGTGGATCTTTTTTCATCTGCTGCGAAAGGCATCTCTGGGCAACGCTTAAGAATCCACTTGCTAACAACAAAGATGTGAGATGTAACCTGCTGTCCTGCGGAAACTGTGGTTCAGTTATCCCAAACTCACTGTTTTTTAGTGGCAAGTTAGGTTCACTCCTAGTCTATAAAAATGCCCCATACGCTAAAAACAGAGGAAGCTAAAGCTCTGAAGAAGTGAAGCACAGTCTGAACTCTTCACAGTAACACTTTACTTTCTTAGGATAAAGAGACCTAAACAGAAAAACTGCACTATTGATGACTCCTAGCAATCATTACTGAACTATAAGTAAGTATGTCTACCTGTGTAATAGTAATGAAAATATTTTAATATCCGAATCTTAATATAAGAAATATTTTAAAATATTGTGCCTATTTTCCAAATCACATAGATGGCTCAAACCCACATTTTCTGTACTTACAGATGTATAAGCAGTTGGCTGAGTATTTTTGTGAGAGATTATTGCATCCATGTGGGTCAAGCCCAAAAAGTTCAAGCATAATGGTGGAGTAAGACGGCAAAATAACCTGCACAAATACAAGAAGCAACAGCATTTAAAACAATTTACTGGACTAATGATATTCACAAATTGTAACTTGGTATTTCACAGAATATACCTGTATGTTTCTAAATGAAAGAATATAAATGAAACTTTCATGGACACCTTCAATTGAGTATCTGACAGAAAATCTGCAAAATACTCACATGCCACTGAAAAGGAGACTGTACGCATCTGTCTGATGATGTGAAGATAAGTAGTAATAGTTAAATACACGGATCCTGAAGACAGTAGAGTAAACACAGATACTTAAGAAAAAGATGGTAAGAAAACAGGCCATCTGTGAAAAAAAATATAAAAGTCACTTGAATGTAGAACTCTACTAAAGGTTTTACTGCATTCAGCACACAGTCTGTGCAGGCAATAAGTTGACTGCAGTCTAATTTTTTATTTTGAGATGGGACAGCAACACCAGCTCTCACCTGCTCTAAGAAACTTCAGGAGTTTTTTTCACCAATTAAGAATTATACTTTAACATCCTGCATTTCATATAATGATAACTGACCCTTTGAGTATTAATTCTACTTCTTGTTACGTAAATGAAATTGCTGTAATTACCTTGATAATTACTATGATAACTTGGCATTTCTTCCCACAAAAAGGGATAAAAATGAGTGTTTTCGATGCAACCTATTTTGTTAGTATACTGGAATTTTTCAGCTCAGTTCCTTTACTGATAAATTTGTACATGTGTATGCTAGCTACACCTGAGGCTGTATTTCTGGTCAGCAGCAAATTCCTGGTTAGGAAAGACAGGTCACACATGGCTGATTAAACACAAAACTTCAAGTTAAGGTTTCACAGATTATTCCACACATGACATTCAGCTCAACTGGGTCACACGCTCATCCTGCATTGAGAGTTTTAAGAAAGTGGCAAAAGGCTGACTCACTCCACAGAAACAATGGTGTTACATGTTTTAGAGACCTTCTGAGAGTTGACAGATTATTTAGAGGCTTACTTTTAAATAAATCTGGTCTAATGTTGTGGTAACAAATTACCTGAAAGATTTTTATTGACTGATTATTTCAAACTTACCTCTATGTATATATAATTATATGTCTTTTCTGCCAGCTGTATGAAAACTGCAAACAGTGATAAAACTGGTTTTGTGCTGAAAAAGGTGCACTCTGACCACACAACAACGACAGAGAATGTGGCCAGAACAACAGCAAGCACCCTATAAAACCATGGTCGTAGAAGGCATTCCCAGTACCACTCTGGAAAAAAAAAAACACACATACAACTGGAAAGGGTTAATGAAAATTACACAACCAGAAACTGAACTCCCTCACAAAAAGTCACAAACTTCTTGGACACACGCCTTTAAAATGAAGACCAGAATCTACGGGGTCACAGACTTAATTTTAGGCGTCTTCCAAAGCCTAGAGATCTGGCTCAGCTCTAAATAATCATACGGAAAACAGGAGAAAACAGGGTGGAATCTGGGAGGCAAATTTTGCAAATGGACTGGGGAGAGTGGGGTGTGCAGAACAGAACTCTTCACGTTTGGCACAGATACTACAAGTGATCCACTTTTTGTTTGTTCGTCTGTTACTCTCTTGGAAACAAAGCTTAGGCTCTAAAATGATGTTGTCCTACCCGGGAAATAACCCATTGCTACTGCACAACAAATTAGAAGTTAAAACATGGGAAAAGGCACCTTCTGAAAAGATGAACAAGCAGCTACATCTCCTTATGTTCAGTACATGACAGACAGAATCTTTTTCTCTTTGCTTTACCAGAAGAGTGGTGCCATCTCAGTAATGTTCCACAAATGCAGAAGGTATCTGTGATGCAGTAATTTCATCTGCTAACTTAATAATTTGTTTTCTTTCTTCTAAGGCTTCAAAGTTTTCTATTACAACATGCACCTGCTTTTAAGTTTAGATTCTATATATATATATATATATGTATACATATAATATATATATATAAACAATATTTATGTTTCAGAGAGGTTGCCTGGTCTAGTAAGTCCCACTGACTATTATTCACTTATAGTAGTTCGTGTGGGTGCTAGAGATACAGATAGCAGTAGTCTGGAGAACATTAAGGACTACAGAGCCCTGAGAGAGATGGTTAGGGGCTCTGGAGCTCAGACAGTCTTTTCATCATTTCCCCAGGATAGAGGGGAGGACCTTAAAAAGGCTAGGTGGATTTGGCAGGTTAATAACTGGTTAGAACAGTGGTGCCATAGTCAGGGGTTTGGGTATTTAGAACATGGGACTCGATTTGAGAGGCCAGGTCTACCAGACGCTGGTGAAGCTGGCCTGTGGACTGTTTTGGTAAGAGGCTTGCCAGGCTGGTCAAGAAAGCTTTAAACTAGATGTGTTGGGGGATGGGGGCATCATTCCATCCCAACACACCCAGTCAGTTGCCAGCACCTATAATAAATGCTTGGAGCGATGTAGAGATATTTCAGCTGCTCCAGCCAATGAGCAGCTAACAAAGTTTGTGGGTCAGGGTCAAAGGGAGAACAGCTATGGGGGACATTACTGTGGGGATCTGTTACAGACCGCCTGATCAAGAGGACTCTGTGGATGAAGCGCTCTACAGACAGATAGGAGCAGCCTCACACTTGCAGGCCCTTGTTCTCCTGGGGGACTTCAACCACCCTGATATCTGTTGGAGGGACAGTACTGCCTGGCACAAGCAATCCAGGAGGTTCTTTGATTGTGCAGAAGACAACTTCCTTCTGCAAGTAACAGAGGAGCCAACAAGGAGAGGTGCCATGCTTGACCTTGTGCTCACCAACAGGGAAGGGCTCATTGGAAATGTGACACTCCAGGGCAGCCTTGGATGCAGCGATCCTGAGATGGTCAAATTCGAGATTCTCAGGACAGTGAAAAGAGCATGCAGCAAACTCTGGACTTCAAGAGAGCAGACTTTGGCCTCTTCAGGAACCTGCTTAGCCAGGTTCCATGGGATATAGCTGTAGAGGGCAGGGGGGCCAAGACTGTTGTCTGATATTCCAGGATCACCTGCTACAAGCTCAGGAGTGTTGCATCCTGACTAGAAGGAAGAGCAGCAGGAGGGCCAGGAGACCTCCATGGATGGATAAGGAGTTGCTGAGGAAACTTAGAAGGAAAAAAGAGGTTTATAAAAGATGGAAGCAAGGACAGGCGGCCTGGGAAGAATACAGGGATGTTGTCTGGGAAGCTAGGAACCAGGTTACGAAAGCTAAGGCCCAGTTAGAATTAAACTTGGCTAGGGATGTGAAAGATAACAGGAAGGGATTCTATAGGTACATTGTGAATAAAAGACAGACTAGGGACAACGTGGGCCTGCTCCAGCAGCTATCAGGAGAACTGGTGACCCTGGATTTGGAGAAGGCTGAGGTTCTCAATAACTTCTCTGTCTCGGTCTGCACTGGCAAATGCTCTGACCACACCACCCAAGTCTTGGAAAGCAGACACAGGGAATGTGAGAATGAAGACCTTAGGCCCACTGTAGGAGAGGATCTGGTTTGAGACCATCTTAAGAACCTGAATGTGCACAAGTCCTTGGGACCTGATGAAACCCATCTGCGGACCCTGAAGGAGCTGGCAAATGAAGTTGCTAAGCCACTGTCCATCATATTTGAAAAATCATGGCAGCCAGGTGAAGTTCCTGACAACTGGAAAAAGGGAAATATAACCCCCATTTTCAGGAAGGAGAAAATGGATGACCCAGGGAACTACAGACCAGTCAGTCTCACCTCTGTGCCTGGCAAAATCCTGGAGCAGATTCTCCTGGAAGGCATGCTAAGGCACAAGAAATACAACAAGGTGCTTGGTGACAGCCAGCATGGCTTCACTGAGGGGAAATTCTGCCTGACCAATTTGGTGGCCTTCTATGGTGGGGCTACGGAACTGATGGACAGGGGCAGAGCAGTTGACGCTATCTACATGGTCTCATGCAAAGCATTCGACACTGTCCCACACGACATCCTTGTCTCTAAATTGGAGAGACATCAATTTGGTGGATGGACCACTCGGTGGATAAAGAACTGGCTGGATGGCTGCATGCAAAGAGTTGTGATCAATGTCTCAATGTCCAGCTGGAGACCAGTAACGAGTGGTGTCCCTCAGGGATCGGTGTTGGGACCGGTCTCGTTCAACATCTTTGTCACTGATATGGACAGTGGGATTGAGTGCGCCCTCGGCAAGTTTGCTGATGACACCAAGCTGTGTGGTTCAGTTGATACGCTGGAGGGAAGGAATGCCATCCAGAGGGACCTTGACATGCTTGTGAGGTGGGCTGATGCCAACCTTATGAAGTTTAACCATGGCAAGTGCAAGGTCCTACACCTGGGTCGGAGCAATCCCAGGAACAGCTACAGATTGGGCAGAGAAGAGATTCAGAGCAGCCCTGTGGAGAAGAACTTGGGAGTGTTGGTCAATGAGAAAATTAACATGAGCTGGCTTCAGTGTGCGCTTGCAGACCAGAAAGCCAACCGTGTCCTGCACTGCATCAAAAGGAGCCATCAGGTTGAAGGAGGTGATCCTGCCCCTCTACTCTGCTCTCGTGAGACCTCACCTGGAGTATTGTGTGCAGTTCTGGTGTCCTCAACATAAAAAGGACATGGAACTGTTGGAACAAGTCCAGAGAAGGGCCACGAGGATGATCAGGGGACTGGAGCACCTCCTGTATGAAGACAGGCTGAGCAAGTTGGGGCTGTTCAGCCTGGTGAAGAGAAGGCTGCATGGAGATCTCATAGCAGCATTCCAGTATCTGAAGTGCAGCTATACGGATGCTGGGGAGGGACCCTTCATTAGGGACTGTAGTGATAGGACAAGGGGGAATGGCTTAAAACTTGAACAGGGGAAATTTATATTGGATATAAGCAGGAAGTTCTTTACTGTGAGGGTGGTGAGGCACTGGAATGGGTTTCCCAAGGAAATTGTGAATGCTCCATCCCTGACTTTGCTCAAGGCCAGGCTGAACAAAGCCTTGGGTGACATGGTTTAGTGTGAGGTGACCCTGCCCATGGCAGGGGCGTTGGAACTTGATGATCTTAAGGTCCTTTCCAACCCTAACTATTCTATGATCCTATGATCAGTAACTGAAGTCTATTCCATTACAGAAATGCATTAAGATGCATATTTGTTTCCCTCTACTGTAACTGAACCTTTTACATTAAAAAAATAAATTCTTCTTACGAACAGTACCAGTTACTCCTCTGCATATTCAAAATCTGCATTACAGCACCTACCAACAGTTGGTGTGTAGAAATACTGAATGATTTTGTTCTCTGGTTCCTGGGAATGAAAGGTATGAACAAACTGTCGAGTTGCACTGGTTTCATTTTTTGCCACATCTTCTAGGTAAAACGCTTGTTCTAAAAGAATTTGCCACTGGACTTGTGTACGACGATGTCTCTGTACTGAATAGATTACCTACAACAAATTCCAAGAAATTATGGTTACAACATACTTGTTTCAAGAAATGTGAGAAAAGCCTTGCAAAATCCCTTACAGATGTGTATTTTGCAGGATTGCAAAGATTACTTCTGTATATTAACAAAAGCCAGTAATTAATTACCTAAATACATAAATCATAAAAGGACTATCTACATGATTCCTGTGTTTTGAAGTTCTTTTGTAGGCTTACACTAATAATATTGTGTGTGCCTTTAACATAGTAGAACAGACCAAACTGTTCTAACTTACTAACATGTAGACAGAAAGGAATGTTCGGCTGATGCACGAAGGAACATCACAGGACTGATAACAACTAAGGAGACAGTAAATAAGACCAAGGATGCTAGCCTTGAAGATAGCAGAGTGGCGCCCACAGTGAAGCGAGACTGAAACAAAACAGAAGCAAGGACATACCAACTGCTAACTCAGCAGTAGAGCTTTGTGAGTGTGCACAAGCACTGAAGTCATTCAATAAACACAGTAAGGAAGACTATCAGTGACCACCAGACCCCCACCAAGCAACAAAGAGCATGCTTAATTAGGATGCAAATATTATAATTATTTCCTGGAAACTCTGTAAATATGCATGAATATGCTAAATATATAACTGCTACTGGCAAGTAACGGGTGCACTCACATTTGCAAAATGATTTGCATGTGAGCCCTGCACTGCAATAAACAATGCCTGCTTTCTAAAACTCCAAATTGAGTCTTAGAGAGTTCCTATAACTGACTTTTATGGTAACACTTTCATCACAATCCATCTGTAGCAATGACAGCCTACTTTTTCCAACATACCATTTTATTTTCTGCATCTTAGCAAATATCAATCTTATACTACAATTTCTTTTTTAGAATGTGTGTCAATCAATCATTACAAAGCTTACCCACAGTTAAAACAATGTCAAGATATAATGGAGTGAGAACATTTTTTTATACATGCAGAAATTTGATCTGGACATTACTAGGGATATTAAACTTATATACTTTCACTGATAAAAGCTTTTGTTAAGCTCAAAACCCACTGTACTCAGCAATTCAGGTAAAGTGCATTGAAAATTTTTGTTTGACTAGCATTTATTCTCATTATGGTAGCATAAGTGAGGCATTCTCTCATTTATTAATATACCTGCTTGTGAAGTTTGACCAAACTTTTTTCAGTTGGATAACTGTTCTGTCTTTCATCAAAATCTTCATAATCATCCATATTCCTACCCATTCTTTCCTGGTACTCAGTAGGACACTGGGAAAGACAAGTGAAAATTGACTGGAAGATAAAGGAATAGCAAGTGCTCTTTGTTAATTATGAGTAAATGTTTGGTGCATTTCATGCAATGGAAAGGCCCACTTAAAGTGTAGATTTGTCTGTTTCAATACTGCATATGTCAAAATACATCAAAAGAAAGCATTTTACAAAGAATTTAAATTCAAATTCCAGTCAGAAACTCACAAGATGCCAATTACAGATTTTATGTTAGGGGAAAAGAAAATAATGAACAAGTATTCACCAGGTGCAGGAACACCCCCTCCCAGTTGAACAATTATGACTGAAGGATGAGAAATTTGTTACCTTTTTCAGTATTGTATCAACACATTTTCTCAAAGGGTGGTTATACTTGATACTCTCACTTACTTTACGAACTTCCTGTTGAATTAAAAAAAATACAGATTTGTTTCATTCTGCTAAATAGATTAAAACATTTTACAGGATCAGGTAAGAGTTCTGGTGCTTCCAATGGAAAAGATAACCATCAGAGCTTAAAAACAACAGAGCTTCCTAAAAGCCATAGCTCTACTAGATATCTAATAAAAGATAACTGAAGTATTTCTAAAGTATTTCTATTGCGTACCTATGCCAGTACGCAAACAATACTCTGTGAATGTGTGGAGGACTAGTTTCTACACATGAATGCTGAAATGGAAAATACTTTCTTGTTTTAGTTGTAGGTAAAGAGGAGGAGTTTGTCTTGCCTGGCTTAGTTTCATTTTACTACATTAAGGAGCTTGATGAATATAATTTTACACTTCTTCATTTTATATCTTCCTCACATTATCTCCACATAGCTTACTTCTGCAACCATTTGGCATTTATTAGTAATAAAAAGATGCTACCTAACAGCTAGAAAAGTTGTGTCAGAACTGGCTCTGGCAGTTTATCAGGCTTAGTGAGAAACAAATTTTATTCTTCATCCTATTGGCAATCTAGAGATAATGTTTTGATGGTTTCTTGTTGTTACAAACGACACTTTAAAAACCAAACCAAACCAAAACAACAACAAAAAGTTATAGACTTTAGAGGACAAAAATAATTGGAAAGGCTTAGAGATACTGTCAAATAGGATGATTAAGCAGACAAAAGAACTGTATTTGTTTAGTGTGTCAAAGGAGGCTAAACGGATATAGACAGTCCTTCCACATATAAAAAGCTGTTCTAAGAGATGCCTCTCAGTAAATCTGAATTCCTTCTGCATCTCACAAGAGATCTGATCAGTCTATGGAGAAGGATTTTTTATTATGTAGTGGGATTATAAAAAACAAGCAAAATCCCTCAAGAATGTCTGTAAGAGTCAATCCTAACATATTCAGCCCTATCAAGTAGAGCACTGGACTGGAAAAAGCATAAAAAAAATAAATTTGAAGTATCATCCACCACTACAGTTTCTTGCATTTTCATAATCCCTGATAAAGAAAAAAAAAACAACAAAAGCCTGAATTAAACTGGGTGAGAGCTAAAATCTTGTGATTTATTTGATGCAGCAGCAGCTCATACTATTAACAATCAAGCTCTCAGAATCATCACCAACATTCTTAAAAAATTTTACATATTTTCACATAGTTCAGTCTTCCTGTGAAGGTTGAAAATGAAATATTGGCCAGAATTTCTAAGGTACAGTGCAATCATAGTGCAATTGTTTCTAGACAGAAAGAAAAAGAAGTTGGGAAAAAAAAGTGCCAAACATTGAAGGAAGGTTTTTATCATATATTAACAATAAAATATATTTAATGTTGTATATGACATAACCTCAGAATCTGTCAGTTACCATACCTGACTTAAAGGACAATCTAGCACAAGACAGCAGTCTAGTACAAGACCCTCTTTTCAGGGAAGTTTGCTGCCTCCCTGAGCCCAAATCAGGGTCATCACTACAAGACTGACAGGTACACCCTTCAGACTGCAATCCATTCCTGCTCTTTCATAGGGGCACTAAGGATGTCACAACAAAAAGTCTGACGCTGATTAAAAGAGATTTCACAGCCCCAGCAAGAATGCTAAAAAACCTGAGGAGCACAGGTAGCCTCTCCCACAATTCTCCCACTAATGGGGGGAGACTTGGGAAAAAACAGGTGAGCCAATAATGTCAATACCTGACTCCTGAACTGGTGCCTCCATCAAAATGCTGGGGTTTTAAGCCACAGAAGAGCCCTCACGGCACAGAGTATGTTGTGTTTAATGAAACAGAACAGATCAGAACATTTTCAGTTGGAAGGGTCCTACAATCATCTAGTCCAACTGCCTGACCACTTCAGGGCTGACCAAAAGCTAAACTGTTATTAAAAGCACTCTCCAAATGTTTTTTAAACACTGACAGGGGTGGAACATAAACCACCTCTCTAGGAAGCCTGTTCTAGGGTTTGACCACCCTCTCAGTAAAGAAATGCTTCCTACTGTCCAGTTTGAAACTCCCCAGACACAGCTCTGAACCATTCCAATGTGTCCTATTACTGGATAGCCAGGAGCAGAGATCAGTACCTCCCTCTGCAGGTTTTGGATGACAATCTTAATAATTTGCTTTAACTTTTGTTCAGGGCAGAAGCAGTCAGGCAGTTGGACTAGATGATCACTATAGGTCTTTTCCAAATGAAATACTCTATTCTGTTCCATTCAATTCAAAGTGCTATCCTTGTAAACCAAGTTTTTCTTGTTCATTTTCTAGTAAGCTTTGGAGTTATGTCCCACCCAGATGTTTATAGAAATTTCTTCTATTACTAACGAATGAAGATTCTGCTATTATTTTATGTTGATATATCACAGTTACCACCCTACCCAAAACTCTTCAGTAGTATTATTTCCAAGCCACGGTACCACAGCAGTAGAACAGGGAAAAGCTACTCATACGGGTTGTATTTCCATTCTGTTCTTGAATTGCATTAGATCCTATAGCTCACTCACAAATAACAATAAACAGTCTCAAAATAAACTGATTGGAAAAACCCCAATATTCTATATATTCTCTTCTCAAAGGCACATAGCATGGTCCTGCAAACTGAATTTGGAAACTCTTCTCAAGATTCCAGAAATATACAAGGAGAAGAACATATGTGCAGACATACACAATTTGCATGAACATTACTGAAACATATGTACACCACGTTTTCAAGTCCACACTGGAATATTGTGCCACAAGTGCCCAATACCAGGAAATCCAGAGATGATTAACTGCAGCCTTCACTTACTTGATAGTGAAAGCTAGTTGCTTACCTCCATAATATCTTCTAAATTCTCCTCTGCATCTGCTTTTTCAGTCATCAGTTTAGCAGCTTTGAAATAGGTCTTCATGAGCAGATAACCTCTCTTGGCCCCATTCCAGTGAGAACGGGGAATTTCCACCAAACCGTAACCCAAAAGCAACACAAGAAGAAAGAGACCCCATGTGTTTGCAGCTGCTATCCCAATAGTCTGAAGTTGGCTCCTAAGGAAAAGAAAAATTGCAAAAACAAAACAACAAAAAAAGAACAACAAAACTCAAACACCCCCCCCCCCCCCCCAAAAAAAACAAACTAAAACCACCCAAACAAAAAACATCCTCCTACCCCATCCTCAAGAAAGCAACCCTGAAGTATCTATGCACCAACAGCGCTTTCAAGTTTAACAGGCTTAGTATCATCAGTAATTCTTGCCTAGGGCAAGTCTGCTACTTGATCATATTTAAAGCTGCCACAATTTTTCTGTATCTCCCACACTTCTGCCTCCTCTGGAGCGAAAACAAAAATATTTGTTCTCAAGGAGTATGTTTCTTTAGGAAGCAACAGGAAATTAACAAACTTACTGAAAGCAAGGTTGAAACATTATAATGGCAGTCACTATAGTCAACAGTCTCAGAACATAAGATTTGCATACAAAGAGGGAGTTGAAAGCAATGAGGCATTACATAATGGTAATTGTGTCTAGTATGGAAGGCCATTAGCACTGTTATAAATACCAAGTATTTTATCTCCTTTAAATAGAATCCACAGTAGACAGAAGCGCTACACAGGAAATACTGACACAGGATTTTTGAAAGATGTTATTCTGACACCACTGACAAAGTTTCTGCACTAACTTTGTAAATGGATTTGTAGGGAGAAAAAATATCCCACTGCTAATGCAAGGGGCTCCTCTGCCACACATGCCAAAATTAGAAAACCAAAACATAGGTTTCTATAAATAGGCAAAAAATCCCTTTTCACAAAAAAAGCCAACAAAGCTTCCCAACTGCCTAGCAAAAGTCAGATCAACTAAACCTGTTTATTATAAAAACACTCATTTCATATATGGAAGAGATTACCTATGACAATTTCATAAGAACCCATGTCAGTCCTTACAACATTATTCTTACCATTGTAAATTGAAGTTTGGGTTTACAGCCACATATATTAAAAATGCTCCAAAAATCAGTAAGTAAGTGCCATAATAGATTGCATTCTCAATCAATGCAGTTTTAATCTTTCCAGTAATGGAGAACCCTCCTGATCTAGCATATGACTGCATGAAAGGTAGCAGAATCCTAAGAGGAAAGCAAACAAAACCAAATTACATCAGTCAACCAAAAAGGAAAAAGACAAAAAGAAGAAAAAACCCAAAGAGTAGGTTTATCCAGCAGTGGCTGGATACTGAGATAGGGGTGTTTAAGCTAAAGACTAGTTCAATGTTTTGTTCTAGATATACTAGTCTGACAGCAAACCTTAAACATGCTGCAGATAGAAACAATACAGTTAGCTTTACTTCGAAAAATCTGAGTTAATTGAAAACTCACTACCAACTCTGATATTCTTGACTCAGCTACAAAAATAATAATTTGATGGTAGGTTGATCTGAAAGCACACATCAGTCTAACCCAAAAGCACAGACAACCTGTTTGATGCAGCTACATCTATAGCTTTATAGAGTATGTCCAGTAAAACAAAATTATTTACAATATTACTCAAAAATCAACCAACTTATGAATGAGTTATTTTGCTGTCTGTTTGCCTAAACCCCATTTTTTTCTGACAATCTATCCATAAACACCTTTGTATAAGTTGCTCAGTTTCAACTATAAGAAGTGAAGCAAGAGTTAAACGCTGCCACCTGAAAAAGTATGCTCAATTTAATACATTAATTATTAGAGAAATTTCATTGCCAGCAAATAATACATGACTAGATAGGTCTGTGGAATAGTGACATATATTCTTTAAAAGTGTATTATCACTGTTAAGAAGCCACACTTTGAAACTACACATATACTGTAGTCTTTGTCATGTTGCTTTGCTTTACTTACCATGTTAAAAACTGTGATGTCCAATACACAACACGCCAGAAAACTGGCATAATTCCATTAGGAATGTAACTCCAGGGTTTGAAGCATTTTTGCTTGCTGTAACAGTGTATAGAAACTTCTTATTAGTTTTAGGGCCAAAAGTATAAAATACATTTTCTATAAATTCCTCTATCTAGAAAGGTCTTTGAAAAAAGCATAGAAGTAATACACAACTATTTGAGTACATAGTCAACCAACAACCATCTCAGAAGAAAATAAACTGAATCGCTACTTTAAAGTGCTTACTGCTCTCCTCACCACACATAACATATGTGTACAAGGCAGCTTTCTTAGAGAAAAAAGCCAGTAGCTCACAGTCTACAGAGATAAACAATTAAGCAATACAAGCTTATAATTTTTTCTTTTTGGGCAGTAAATGCTTGCTTCAGGCAAAGAAAAATCAACTCCTTAGACAGAAGACTACTCAACTTTAGTTAGTGGAGTAGGTTCTTATGAAGTATCTAGGGGCCCCATTACCTAGCTCTACTACCAAGAGCATTAGCAATTAAAAAAGAAAAATAAAGTGTATTAGTTATTTCTTAATCAGGCTTATATCAACCGTGATTTGTTGAGCCAACACTTCTCTGACAGGTAGCGCTTGCTTCAGAAGACCAAAAAAGCCACAAGAAACTTTTCAGTGAAAAAAAATGAAAGAGCAAAACCCAAAGTGCACATCTACTCTCTAAGGCACTTCATTTTTATTCCCACACCTGCCTGGGTAATAAAGCAATGGTGAGTCAAGGGGCAACACAGTCAATTTAATAAGATTACCTATTGAGAAATAACTGGTGTTTTCCAGGGTTGAACTAGTTAAGCTTGAGCTGTGGGTTTTTATGTACACAGCCTAAATAGTTTCAAAACTACCAAATTACCACAGAATGATAGTGTGACTACAGGTGTCACCTGAAGTTTTAAGATCTGACATGTATCAACACAATATCTGCTCAAACTTACACTGATATTGCTATCTGAAATACTCAAGTCATATACTGTAATACAACATCCACCAGCAGCATGTTCTGAAACTGTAAGTAAATAGAAACGCTATTGAATAGTTTTCAAATTGTGTGTTTACCTAAGTATGCTTAATTATTGTAAATTCCATAGTCTTAAATAAAAGGTACAAAGTTGTGTCACTAAGTCTGGCATTTTACTGTTCTTCCATGAATATACAACAACCAGATAGCCTCTGCTGTGGTGCAACAGAACTGGCAATACTTTGCATGGATGGATCAACTGACATCTCAAATGCTCTAATTGTCTTACAGATAACTACATTGCATACATTTACATCTACAACATACAGAAAGAGCCAATAGCAGCTAAAGAATGAGCAGCCATGGAAAGAGCCCACATTCACCATGTTTTAGGGATTACTTTCTTCCTGCCAGAAGACAGCAAGCAGACTATCATTACTCTGGTAGAATGCAGTAAATTTCAGATAATTCTAATTACTATGTGTGTGTGTACACACAATTATAACAGGCAATTGGATATACTGTTTACATATAAGACAAGTCTACCAATTTCATTCATAAGGTGCAAAATTAGATTTTCAGGTCTAAAGTCTTCAAGACTCTGGAGGAAAGAGAAGCATTCACCAAGGTCTGTCCTCACAGATAACCAAGACAGTTTGAAAAGCTTAGTTCTACTGCTTTAACAACAAGATAGAAGAAATCTAGCATGATTTAAAAAAAAAGAAAAAAAGAAAGGAATATTTAGGTAATCAGTTAGAACAACTGCATAATTCTACCAGTAGATGCAGATGCATTTTTCTTCACTTCTTCGCTCACCTTCCTGTATGATTACAATCTTCAGGTGTCATATCACACAGATAACCCTTGTTTATTAGATTTTATATCACAGTACACTCCTATCATTTAAAAGAAGAAAATCGTAAAACACTTCTTGAAAAATTATCTAATGAGGAAAACATATAGCTCATACCTTGGAGCAAGAGAAACATAAGAGCCATTACTTTCTGCAGGGCTGGAATTAACAGCAAGTTTGCACCGATTATAAATAGTCTGCAAGACAATTAATTTTACATCAGTTATCAAAAATGTATAACATCTATTTGAAAATAATAAGACCCACTTTAAAAGACATTTTCTGTACTGCATTTGGAGCAAATATAGTAATAAACCTTCAAAACAACATGCAATCTGCAGGACAAGTAAGTAAAAACATTGGAAGTGTTTTTGTTACCTAAAGAGATAATTTATATTTAAAAAAAAAATGAAATTTTAAAGCATCTGAAATATGTTTTTTATCTGGTGAGATCAACAAAAAGTAATGTTAGTTGTAAGCACAGATGCTGTCATGCAAAAAGGTAACAAGTGTTTATTTTAGTAAGATACTTTTTGGAAAATTTATTTGATGTTTAAGAAATTATTAGTTAAAAAAAAATACACATTTTACACATCTAAGCAGGAAATCTCACAACTCTCTTACCGTACTGACATCCAGAGGCAGTATAAATACAATAAGAAAGCAGAGATACCAAGCCAATAACGTTGCTATGATCACCAGCTTATGCTGCTTCTTGAAGTCTCCGTACCGATGAAGCAGGAATAAGGCCAGAAAGAAGACAAATACTATCTCAAGGCCCAACGCTACCCCACTCATTATTGAGTGTTCACCACAGCTGCACAGCGCAGCTCACTTAAAAAGGCAGATCAGAACTGTAAGACAGAAAGACATTTAATTGCATTAAAATCTCTGAAAGATATCTATGCAGAAAAGAGTTGTTTAACAGATATTTGTTAACCCATAACTAGACTTTTCTTACTTCACATGACAAGAGTTCTGATCAGATGAAGAACAAGATTTTTAGCAAGGTGTTCTAAAGTTCTCTGCAGAAATCAAAATATCATGTCATTTCAATTTTGTCACTTCTAGCAACATACTCATCTCATCTCTTATTCACCTACCTGACATACAATAGATCCAGAAGTCAAATCTCTGTCCTTAAATAAGATTATAAGCATAATGCTTAAGTCCAGTAATAAATAAATAAATACATACACACATATGTATATTCTGATTTTTTTTTGTTTGTTTTAGAAGAAATCAGCAAATTTGGACAAAGGGTTACATGTTTAAATTAAATGTTTCTGCAAAGCTAATGAGCAACTTTATTAATGGACCGTTCCTTAACTATGCATTTAAATCCTGCACTCAAGAGAGCATAAAAGTACAGCGCAGTACATGTTGCATGTACTTGCGAGGTACCTCTTTTAGGTTTCAAATTTCATAGGGTAAAAAGGTAACAAGCTAGCTAATTCACCTGCCTACTGGTGTTCTATCATAGAAACAAAGGTTTCAATTAATTTGTTACTAATCTGCCCATGATACATTGTCGGTTTGCTTACACTTCTGGGTTTAGTTACTCTGTGTTACATTCAGGATGGCTAGAAGCATCTACAAACTTGGCACCAGCGCCATTATGCAAAGGGCCAGTAAGCTGCACAAACCTATTAGGGAAAACTTCACTGACGTGTCACATTGTCAATTAAACTGCTTCTGACTCTTTTTAATAAGCATCTTTTTACCATAGCACTTCACACATTATAAATAAACAAAAGTTTATTACTCTGGTCAGACTGACTTGGTTCTCCATCAGGATTACCATCATAGCTGGTTTGATTTAATGGAAATAGCATATGTTTTGCTATGGCTTCCCCACTGCTGTATTTTCAGTGCTTTCACTATTCATTGGAACTTGATAGATTTTTTTTTTTTTTAAATGCTACTGCTAAAAGATTTCCTCAGTTGACTTTTAAATCCCTTCAGAATTTGTATAAACTTACTCTTCTACCAATCTCTCAGTATACTGCTTAAGCAGATCTTCTATGGATGAGGGCACCCAGCAGTGAGATGTGTCTTACTTCCACTACAAAATTCCAAAGTTTGTGATGCTAGTACTTCTTTTAGGACACATAGGACAATTATTTTATTATTTTTTTCTCTCCAATTTTGCTACTTTCACATTTCATTTCAGAATAGTAAGAGCAGTCTGTTTACTCCATATTGGCTGCTATACACAAAGCACCCCATATTCTGAAAAATAGCTTGAGTTACCTTGCTGTTTCTTATGAAAGATGCATGTCCTTTTCATCTTCTGTCTTTTATCTAACATGTTTACCAAATAAACAGAATTTCTGTTAGGTCAAAGTACCCCCATGCTATCTGCCTGTTCCAAATTTTGGCTAAATCGTTTGTAAATCCGGGATAGCTAGCCTATTTCTTAATCACATATTCTAAGCAAGTCCTTGTCTATTCTGTTGTACCATTGTTGCTTCCTCAAAAAGTGGTCTCTTGTATTTATACTGTCATAGCAAATTCCAACAAAAATGAATGGAAAATAAATATTATATATCGACTTTATGAAGCCAGGGCTATCTGACATATGTAGGTGCCCATTACAGCCACACCTTATACTATGTAAACAAAAAAATTATACAGCATTGTCCTGTGTGCAGCAGTAGCAGTCATTTTTCTCCTTCCTAGTAGCTGGTGCAGTGCTGTGTTTTTGAGTTTCAGCCTGCGAACAACACTGATAACACCACTGGTTTTAGTTGTTGCTAAGTAATGTTTAATCCCACCAAGGACTTTCTGAGTCTCATGCTCTGCCAGGGAGGAAGGGAAGCTGGGAGGAAGCAGAGACAGGACCCCCGACCAAAACTAGCAAAAGGGGTATTCCATACCACAGCATGTCATGCCCAGTATAGAACCGAGGGGCAGTAACCCAAAGGGCGAGATCACTGCTCGGGTTGGGCTGGGTATAGGTCGGCGGGTGGTGAGCGGTTGTATTCTCTTCCCTTGTTATTTCCTTTATCATTATTATTATTGGCGGTAGCAGTATACAATTTTTTACTATAGTCACTCCTAAAAAGCTGCTATCAAAACAGAAGGTGAAAAGTTTTTGCGCAATATGCTATACTGTTACTACCATGAGGGAACTTACAAAAGGATCATAAAAAGATAATGAATATGCTAAAAAATAGAGATGGGAATTGAGTTCCACCAAAACTTAGCTCACTTTCAAAGGCAAAAGCAACTTTGCACATGTAAATTACTTTCTCTTCTTGACCTGGTTCCTATTGCAATCACAACATACAAAATGAAAGGCCTAATTTTTTTTCCAGACTGCAACTGATGACAAATAAGAGTTGTTTTGAAATAATAAACAGACATTTTCAAAATTACATTTCAAAATTTTCAGATAGAAACCACTTAAAACTAGTTCTCCACACACATAGCTTAAACAGAAAAAAATCCACAAGGTGATATATGGAATGCTTGAGAGGAGCTCTTATTGTGAACTCAATCCTGCCTAATGGGACAGATGTATCTGGGATCCATGCTACTAGAATTAGACCTTAATATACATTACTGCAGGCTATAAGGCCATACCTTCCTGCAGCAAGCAGTATTTGCCTCTGAACTTGGTTGGTACCGCAAAGAAAGGCAAGTTTCTCTCCCATAGCTCTCTTCCTTTTTTTTATTTAGGCAGGCTTCTCGCTATTAGTGCATGGCATCCTAGTATCAGCTGGCTAAAATTCCTGATCCCCTAAAGAACGTTCTCCTGAGAGCAACAAAGTACTTGAGAAGAGTTCTCTCATACTGCACAACCTTCCGCTGCTTAGAACATGTTCCTGTCAAGCAATGGCAAAAGGTTACAAAATTCCTCATTCTGAGGGGAAGAGTATCAGCACACTCTGCTTCTGGAGAATAAGGCAGCTACAGATTAATATAAGATCAAAATCTGAAACACTAGCATTGAAGTGCAACTTAACCAATAACAGGCAAAACTCTTCTGCAGGCTTAGGACTTTCTTGGTTTCAGACACATACAAAATCAGAAATTTTTTAATTGCACTAATGGAAGTTTGATTACCCCAATATAGGACATACATTTCAAGATTCTGACATTAAATCCCCTAGAGTCCAAACCCTGTCAATAACTCTTTGCAAGCTCAGTTCGCACTTAATTGCCTTGGGAGACTCCAAACTATCAACAATATTGAATTACCATGCCAACGTCAAGACTAACCGCTCTCACAACCATCTACATTACAAATGAGCTAACTAATCTGCCTGGCACAGAAATACTCAAGTTAATAAATGAAGCAGCAGAAAATAAAAAAGCCACACTTTCTTAGAGCATTCATATAGAGCATGAAATTTAACAACAAAGACATTCCTATTGTTGTGGTTTAAAACCAGTCAGGCAGCTCGTTCACTCACTTCCCCCGCTGCTTTCCCTCTCCCTACTCCCAGAGAGGAGAATCGAAAAGAATGCGACTCCCACGGGCTGAGATAAGAACAGTTTAGTAACTAAGGTATAACACAAATCACTACTGCTACCACCAATAATAAAAATGATAAAGGAAATAACAAGGGGAGAGAATACATCACCTCAGCACCCGCCGACCGATAACTCACCCCACCCCGCCCAACCAAGCACCGACCAATACCTCCTCCAACCCCACAGTCCTAGCACTTCTGGGTAACTCTCACTTACATCCTGGGCATGACGTGCTGTGGTATGGAATACTTCCTTGGTCAGTTTGGGTCAGGTGTCCTGTCTCTGCTTCCTCCTGGCTTCCCCTCCTCCCTGGCAGAGCATGAGGCTCACAAAATCCTTGGTCAGACTAAAACATCTGTGTTATCAGCTCTGTTCCCAGGCCAAAAGTCAAAACACAGCACTGCACCAGCTACTAAGAAGGAGAAAAATGACTGCTACTGCTAAACCCAGGACACTATATTATATTCTTAAAGAACAGCTAAAAAGAGTAGAGCATATCTGTGAACAAGGGACCCTGGTCTCACTAAAGTGGTCTCCAATACCTTGCTAGCAGAAATTTGAGATCAGACTGTACCCCAGTTTTATTCTTTTCAAACTTTGCAGGAAAGCATTTTACCACCAGATTGTTCATTTTGCAGACTAATGTAATTGGTGCTTCAATCCTTCCCAGTCAGTCTAATGTCATACTTTCTGCAGATTTCTCATTGCTGCTCTGGATACTCTCCTCAGTTCACCCACTCCTACAATGAGCTGGAACACAGGCAGCATCCCAGCTAGTGCCTGAGAAGGCCTGAACTGAGGGTAAACACTGCTTCACATGCCTTACTGAAATGTATCAACAGAAGTATAACCTGAGTGATACTCCCTTCATGTACTCAGCTTATTATGCCCTCCCAATTATTTTCCTCTAAGAAACACCACACTGTTCTCTATCTGGTATTTCTGTAGTTAATCAGAAAGACTAACTTAAGAGCAGGCACAAAACTGTACTGATTTGTACCCCTTCCTCTCCTGCAGGCTTCTGAATCTTCAAGGCATTTTGGTTTCCACTACCACACTCAAAAAGGTCTGGAATTCCTTCAAGCTTTATGCCTTTTTAAGTTATCACAATCACATTATTTCATTATGGAAACTCTTTGTAAATATCATGAAGAGCAGTTGACAAGAGGCTGACCTTACAACAGTAGCTGTTTCCACCATTCTTCCCCAACAAAAACATCCTGAGAAACAGAATAAAATGCGCTACTACAGACCAAATGTAAGACATCAACTGACCCTCTTATCTACAGTAGGCCTATCAGTGAAGTAAGTTAGATTACTTCAAGAATTTGTCCTTAACAAACTGATGCTGTCCTTTACTCAACTACTATATTCTGGATGCTAACAAATAGATTTTGTTCCAGATTTTTCTTCAGGAATTCAAAAGGAAGCAGACTAGCCTGTCATCGCTAATTCTCCCTGTCCTTTAAAATTAGTAATAAAGACAGCCACAATGCTTTTGGTTCTCTTATCTTTGGTACCTCAGCCATTTCTAGAATAATACAGCCTTTTTTCATTGTTCTTGAAGCATTCTCAGGTAAACATCAGATTCAGAAAATTTAGATTTTCAGAAAACCTGGATGCTTTAGTTGAAACACGTGAAGAACAAAGCAGCTAGAGATCTCCTTGCCTTGCTTTGTATTTTAAACACCATAGTTACATCTGAAAAAAAACCACCTCAAACTGTCACCAAGAAAGTTACCAAACTATGACATATCAAAGACAGTAATGGATAAAATAAAGTGAGAGCCACAGCATACCAAAAAAAACATCTGTGTGATAGCATCTCCCACCTCAAGCTGAGTTCACACCTCAGCAGCAAGCACAAAGTGAAAGCTGCCATGTCCAATAAAATATCAATGCCTAGTTCAACAATGACCTTTACTTCTCCGTCAGGCAATAACCTGCTAGTGACTACTGAGCTTTTTCTAGCACATTCACTTGGCAAAAGAAAAATGAGATGCCCCAACCTGTGACAGATTCTGAAGCTTCAGGACCTGGACAGGGTACTGAAGCCTGCCCTACTTTGGAAAACTATGCTGTTAAGAATTCGAAAGTAACACTTCACTTTACAGACCTGATTAAACCTTTTGGACTGATAGAACTGCTCCAGACTAAAGAGTTCTTGACACTTGCATCTTTAAACAACAAAATGGGCTAAAGACACATTTTAAAAATCTTAAAGAGAAGAACAAGAGGTCAAGTGACAATAATAATAATCCCTTCAGCAATTTTCATATCCAAGTCTGCTTTGTGTGTTGTTGGGGTTTCCTTTTTTGCCTGGTTTCAGGTTTTGAGAGGGGTGGGGTTGGTTTGGTGGTTTGGGTTTTGTTCGTTTTTTTTTTTACTTATTATACACTGACTCTTGCAGATTGGGGAAATAGTAAGCATTTATAAGCAGATAACAGACAAAGAGCTGCTTAACCTCACACATTAAGGAAACTATCTAAAGAAAGAAAACAGCCATAAGCTGCCTGAGAAAACTGACAAGTTCTCTGATTGGACTATTTGGGAGAAATTACTCAAGAAAGCATAATTTGCATAGCTTTGCTCGTCTATGAAGCAACAGTCAGTCTATGTACTGACTGACATTTTATTAGTACCTGTAATTTCAACTACATTGCAACGAAGATAAGGTTTTAAACTGACTTAACTTTTAATTGATTGCGTATCAATAGCTAGCAAAACAAGAAAAAAAAATCATAAAATGCTGCACTGACTCCATTTAAAATAGCAGTAATCTCCAGTTCAGAGGGACACTAGGTTCTCCACAGAAGCAGTAAATAAAAAACAAATGCTTAAACAAGAATCATGGAGATTTTTGTGTTCAAAAGCAAGCAGGGACCATTGGTACAAAACCATGCAAAGATTATTTGTGTTACATGGCGTTGCCATGTCCTCTAATAAGGGATATTAACTACCACAGAGGCTGATGTTTTCCTACAGGTCAGGGGAGTACTCTGGAAATAACATACTGAAGAAACCAACTTGGTTGGTTCCCAACTGGAGGAACTCAAATAGAATCAGATACAAAAGCTGTACAGGTGCAGTAAGAATCTAAAAAAAATATAACAGAAATTGCAACCTGGGCTGCCAGAGTAACACAGAACAGGTGTCAGTAATGTGGTCAACCACATGACTGCAATCCTAACATTGTACTGAGGCAAACTCAGACTATTTGGTAATTCAGAGCTTTTTAAAAATTAATAGGATTTTATTCTTTTCAGCAAATTCTTCTTTCAACTTTGGATGCATTAACAGAAAAAAGTAAAAAGATTAACAAAGAAAAAAACGGGCTGGTGAACAGGGTAACACAATAATCTTTTTTTTTTTTACTGAAAAAAACCCACTGCTCTTTTATTTGACTATCCACGTTATAACCCTTAAACAATTGTTCCATTACTTCAGTTAACACTAGAAACACTTACCACAAGCTCTTTCTTAAGATTATATGAATTCTAATTTGAGCCACACTACTATCAATATCTGATTTGATAGTTGCATACGATGTGCCATGTTTTCCATTACCATCTCCAGTTTTACAGGCAGGTCTCTCCATCGTTACGCAGTAAACAAAGGGCAGCATCCACCAGCAAGTGGCTGACTAAGCGTGGAGTTGTAGGTGTGTTCAGAATTAGTTTTCCAACCCCATCAATTTCAAAACAAGCAGTTTGGAGAAGGAATGAAGAGCTCCTTAAGAAACCCTGATGTGAATCTGAAACGTGGTGTGAAAAGACCAGAATAAACTGATAGGCCCTCGGTATCAGGCCTTCACAGTGAAGACCTTCCAGAAGCACAGGAAAACCTTTCACGATAAAATGTCAATGTCAGCGAGATTCCGGTCTTACAAACCAGAAACAGCCACCGCACATTACAGCCATTAAAGCCGATCACTGTGTGCCCACTGGCCTGTCAGGAGCACAGAACTAAAGTCGACAGACACTTAACAAACATCAACATTCATGCTGTAAACCTCCCTGCTCGAGGTCCCTAAAGGAAGGAAAAAAAAATAATCAGGGACTAAGAGCAGAGAGACCAACACGTCGGTTCCTCCCGTCCTCATCGCAGCCCCCGCAGTGTCCCCTCCCTGCTGCTTCCTCGTCAAAGACACCGTGGGTGAGCACAGGGTCTCCCCGCCCCGGACCCGGGTCATGCTCCCAGCCGGGGGGGGAGACGCGGCCGCCCCTCATCCTCCCAACAACACCGCGCCCGGCCCCACGCAGGCCCACACCCCGCCGTGACTCGGCGCTGCGGCACCCCGGGCCGCGCCGCTCCCTCACCACAGGCAGAGAGCCCTGATCAGCAGCCGGTGCCTCGCGGGACGCCGCCACCCTCCATCCCGGTTGCCGCCGGCCTCGACGCGCAGGTTCAGATGCAGAAAGCGGCGGCCACTCCCGGCTTTTTGCGCGTCACAATAACCATGGCCGCCGCCGCCGCCGCCTCCACGTTTGCCCCACAACACCCGACCGCCGTTCCTCAGCGGCGCTGACGTCGACATCCCCCCCCCGCCCCGGAGATGGGCGCAAGGCACTGTGGGAACGGCCCGTCCGCGGTGGCGGGGAGCGTGTGCGTCAGGCTGACTGACTGTGAACTACAACTCCCGGCAGCCTTTGCGGCGGACGGCCACCTGCTTCCGGGAGGCCCGCCCACCCGCGCGCGCGCGCGCGCGGGGTTATAACGGCGCGGCGCGGCGCAGCGGGGTTGTGCACTGAGGGGAGCGGAGCGTGCGACTGGTCGTCAGCTGTCGGCGACATGTTCAGGTACCCCGAGTGCGTGTGGCCTCGGAAGCGGGGGGCTGTGGGGGAGCGGGCCGCGCTCTGCCCGCTGGCGCACGGGATGCGAGGGAGCGGGGGAGCTCAGGTTCAAGAGCGTTCGCGGGGCGCGGAGCATCGCGTTCCTCCCGGGCGTTCGCGGCGGGAACTGATGTGTGGGTCCTGCGGTGCCTGGGTGCGAGCCGTTCATGGGGCCGTGGTTGCGGGTCTCCCGGAATGCCCCCCTCCCGCTGCTCCCGCCTCCGTGCAGCACGCGGGGGTGGCGGCGCTCTCGTTGACCGTGGAGCGCTGGCGGGATGGAGTAGAGCGGAGTATCCCGCGCTCCCCCTCCACGGTCCCTTCGTCCTCGGCCCTTCCTCGAGTGCCCCCGGCTACGCTGAATTTCCGCAGCACGGTCTGTGGGAGAAGTGGGCGGGGGGGGCGAGCCGTAGCGCATCTCTGCCGTCTTTCAGCAGCCCCCTGCTCGCCCGCGGAGCCGACCCGGGAACCGGGTTTGCTTGATCCCTGGCGGGTTGGCTGAGTGTGCCTGGTGAGCTGACGGCTCAGCGGACCCAGCGCTCGTAATATTAGGTACGTGGGTTCAGTGTGACCGTGAAGTGGTTCTGTGCATACGCGGTGCCTTCAGAGCCTGTCTCTGTAGAAAACACCTCAAAGGTATCTCATCTTCCAGGAGCAATGTGTCCGGCAGCTTTTTGTGGGGCTTGAACGGCGACGCCAGCAGGACCTCGGAGCTTCTCTCTGGCATGGGAGTGTCTGTCCTTAAGAAGGACAAGCTGGACGATGAAAACACTGTACAAGATGCGCAGGGAGCATCATCCTGTTCTCACAAACGGCAGAAGATAAAGGAGAGGGACTTTGTCATTGTGCGCCGGCCTCGGCTGCCCCGCGATTCAGGTACCATGACGCTGGTATGCCGGGGCATACCTCAGCCTCCTTTTGGAGCTGAGCTGTAAGCAATGCAAAGACCCTGCCAGAGAGCTACAGGGAACATACAGCGAAGGGTGTAGGAAAGGGACTGGCAGAGAAAGAGCAGGGCTGTAACCTGAAAACCTGGGGCACTAAAAAAGGTTGTAGGATGCTGGGCTCCTTTCCCTGGTGTTGAAAGGTTTTCCATCTGCAGAAACTGCAGAATGCAAAACAAAATTACAGCTCTCTCCAGACCTGGCTAGACCATGATGTGAACCATGACCTTGGTTTAGCTGTAACAGTTATTTTTCTCCTTCTTAGTATCTGGTGCAGTGCTGTGTTTTGGCTTTTGTCTGAGAACAATGCTGATAACACACTGAGAGTGTAGTCCTTGCTCAGTAGCACTTACCCTGATCAAGGACTTTTTAATCTCTTGTGCTCTGCCAGTGAGAAAGGGCACAAGAAGCTGAAATGCTCTTGTGCTCTGCCAGTGAGGAAGGGCACAAGAAGCTGAAATGCTCTTGTGCTCTGCCAGTGAGGAAGGGCACAAGAAGCTGAAATGCTCTTGCGCTCTGCCAGTGAGGAAGGGCACAAGAAGCCAAGACAGGACACCTGACCCAAACTGGTCAAAGGGGTATTCCATACTACAGCTCATCATGCCCAGTGTATAAACTGAGGGGAGTTACCTGGAAGGCCCAGATTGGTGCTTGGGTCAGGCTGGGCATCGTTCTGCAGATGCTGAGCAATTGTGTTGTGCATCACTTGTGTTTATTGTTGTTTTTTTTCCCATTTTTAGTTTTATATTCTCTCCCCTTGTTATTTCCCTATCATTATTACTATTAGTAGATTTATATTTTAGTTACTGGACTGTTCTTACCTCAACCTGTGGGGTTTACATTCTTTCAGTTCTCCTCCCCATCCCACCTGGAGGGGGAGAAAAGAGGGGGATGTTTGAGCAAGCATCTGCATGGTTCTGAGTTACTGGCTGGGCTTAAACCATGACAGAATGCTGTCAGATGACCCTGATTTTAAACAAGACAGATTCTGGTTTATAGGCAGCTGTTCTTAAACCTGTCAATCAGAATGTGAATGGCAACACCTTCTGGAGCGCTGTATCTGCTCATGAGAAGCTGAGATTGCACCACATCTTTTCAGATAATTCTTGGTTGTTAGTGTGCATAATTTAAGGAGCAGTTTGCAGTACCTGCTTTTCCCCAGGTACCATGCAAAAGCATAGCTCACTTTGGGCTCCCTTCTGGGAGCCTGGCATGCATAGGAAGGATGGGCATTTCAGAAGAGAATGGGGGAAAGAAGGACCATACAAGCCTTAGAATACGTAGGAAGTAACTGAGATGCTCTTGTTTCAAAAATGAGTATATGAGCAAAGATTATTGTGATTTTTTTTTTTTTTTTCCATGGAATTTGTCTTTCTATACCTTTAGTATGTATACTAGGTTGACGTTATGGAAAGCTTTACATTTGCCAGTTGCGCCTGCACAAATATCTTCCTACAACAAAGACATGAAAGGGGGATGAGTGGCAGGCTGATGTCTAATGCCTAGAGATGCAGGGGTGCTTTCTAACAGTCTGTCTCATCAGCAGGCAAAAATGAACGAGTTTTAACTAGAACATTTGCCCTTTCCCTAAAGGTGCTTCTTGGGATACACTTCCAGATGAATTGCTTTTGGCCATCTTTGCATATTTGCCCCTAAGTGACTTGATAAGAGTTTCTGTTGTTTGCAAGAGGTGGCATCGTCTTTCGTAAGTATTACTTCTCATCTTGTAGTACTAAGAAAAACTTTGCTTCCAAAGACTGTTAAATGATCTGGTTCCTACCTTGTTTATTCATATATAATTCAGTTTATGTTATATATGGGTTATATGTATGTATAATCAAAAGATGGCTTGCATATTTCAACATTAGTAAGTTCTGTTAAATAGTTTTCTCAGTCTTTTGTGACACTGAAAACTTTCAGTAGTTGTACTCATACCTCTGACCCTTTCTACCTCACTAACAAGTAATATTCTGTGCCTTAGGTTTGATGAATCTCTCTGGCAGACTCTTGATCTGGCTGGTAAAATTTTGGTGCCAGGAGTGGTTGGACAGTTGCTGCCTGCAGGTGTTACTGTATTCCGCTGCCCACGATCTTCTATTGGGAGCCCATTGTTCAAAACAAGCAAGTAAGGATTTTTCTGCATGTTCTGTGTCCTTAAACATTGTCTCTAATATTCACAATTTCTCTGTATTTTGGTTTTAAGGTCTCCACCAGTAATAGCATTTGTGCTGTCTCTGGAGTGTGAAAGAGCTGATCAGTAGTTAGACATGTGTTGAAGTAAGAGGATCTGCATTCACCTGTCAGTTGTTTAAAACTGAGTTACTGTGATTTGTTTGAAAATATCAAGCAACCATCGTTCAATGTAGTTTGTATCTTGTAGAACCAAGAATTGTTAGCATCTCCAGCGTTTTTATATGGAACACTCAAAAAAATATTTAACTCCAGCAGGATAGACTGTCAGCTGCTATGATGAATCCTGTAAATGTCTTGAAGTTAAGAGGTCTCCAGTTTTGGGTGGTAGCTTAACAGTAGTCCCAGTGAGCTTATTAGTATGTTCATGTACAGCTGAATACAAAAGTATTATTTTCTGCAGGCTTTGCACAGCTTTATTGTAGGGGATATATTTATGGTCTGGGGGATTTGTGAAGCGGGTTTTAATGAAATTTTTGTAACCTGCCTTTCTCCTTTTTCTTTCTCTTTTTTTTTTTTTTTGTAGACCTCTCAAACTTCAATGTATGGATTTGTCGAACTGTACAATGTCTGTTGCAAGTCTCCAGAGTATTCTTAGTCTGTGTGAAAAGCTGCAGAACCTCAGCTTGGAGGGGCTAGTGCTTTCTGATGACATCATCGAGTGAGTGATAAGTTTGGGAATATTCAGTAAATACCTCCCTTTCAGTGCTATCATTTTGTGCAGGCTAGCAAAAGAATGCATTTGAGAGTTGTTTGTTGTGGGAGCCTTTTTAAATTGCCATATTTAGATATCTGACAGGGCTAGCTGGCAGGCTAGATGAGCTGCCTCATTTCTCTCTATCATCCAAGAGATGAGGTGAGGAGCAGATACCCCTCTGGAAGAGTGTTTCTTGGTGCCGGGCTTCTTTTTTTATTCCCCAAAGCAGGAGAAGCCTGCTTGTCTCTCTAGGTTTTACGTGTCTGTTGGCTGTTCCTACAGCCAAGCTGTACAGCGGAGCTACTATCATTTCCCCATATCTGTGCTCCCAGGAGAACTTTGTGTTTAGCATGCAGGTTCTTCTCTGTTTGAAGGGGTCTCAGCAGCTCTCCCACCAGGTGCTTGTTGTACTTCTGCACTGGTTCTCACTTTTTCATTGAACTTCACTTGTGAGTGTCTTAAAATTGACAGTCTGTCAAGGAGATGAACTGTTGCTTGGTTAAACTGTAATGACACTAATGGGCATGCAGTAAACCTCCTGTTCAATCACAGCAGGTCATTCTGGAGGTGCCAGGGACCGTAGCTCGGATGGCAGAGACTCTGGGTGTCCAGTTTCCTATTCTTGAGCTTTCTGATGCCTTTCTTGCTCCAGAGAAGAAAACAAAAAGCAACCCCACAAAACAAACCAACCAAACATGCAAAAAAACCCAAACAGAACTAACAAATTCCCAGAGCACAAATAAACCAATGTTAGTTGGCTTTTGATACCAGATGAAAAGTGCCTGAAAATGAGTACTAATTAGGGTTGGAATTTTATTGCCTTATCCCTGGCAGTGTTAAAGGCCAGACTGGACAGAGCCTTGGGTGATAGTGGTGTAGGGTGAGGTTACCCTGACCATGGCAGGGGGTTGGAGTTAGATGATCTAAAGGTCCTTTCTAACCCAAACCATTCTATGATTCTGTGAAATCTAGATACTGGATGTAAGGGATTTTCCAGGTTTTTCCACTTGCATGTCTGTTGTAACCTTGCAGACAAGTGCATGCAGGGGGGATGCTGTTTGGACATGTGTTTTGTTCTCAAATAACCTTCATCTTGCAGAGGGGTGGCTTCAGAAATGGGATGATTACTTTGTGTTTTGTAGAGGTATAATCATCTGTGATAAGCCATGGTGTGTGTTTACTGGTATACAATAGGAGAAGGTGAAAATAAACTGTTTCCTTTTAAACTTAGCAGTTATAAATATGCAGACCTGTCAGGAATGTAAGGTAAATAGGCAAGTATCCCTCTCAAAGTTGTGCTGTGATGCAGCAGCTGGAGTTGAGATCTTTAGTGACTCTCAGGTTGGTCAGGTTACTAAAGATGCAGTGCCACGTATTTAATGAATAATTCTGTGCCTGGGGTTTTAGCCCTTAAAAATAATCACACTACCTAACAATGCAAGCAGTGTTCCAATATTAAAATTGTCTCCCTTTTTCTTCCCTACAGATATATTGCTCAGAATCCCAGTTTGGTGCGACTAAATCTCTCTGGGTGCTCAGGGTTTGCTGTAGAACCCTTGAAGCTGATGTTGAGCAGCTGTTCTATGTAAGACAAAAATAGTTTTTGCTATTCCTGTTTCCTGCTCTTCCTGAGAAAAACTATTCTTTTTAATTCTTTCCATATGCATCCCAATTGTACTTATCTTTAATATCTTTTTCTTTTCTTTTTCGTATTTTTTCTATGAGCTGGCTTCTCTTCCTAAATGCCTAGCAGTTATTATTAGCTGAATAATCAGTTTCTTTCCATCAAGCAATTTGTTCTTTAATAACAAAGACGTACTTCAGCAGTTTTTCATTAATTTCTTTAATCGTCCTCAAAGGAAGTCTGCTTGGTATCATGTAAAGTCAATTTTCTTGACAAAAGCAGTACATGATCCTCACAAAGTGAGAGTGTGTTTTGGAGCTGAAAAGTGGAGTTGCAGAGCTCCCTTTGCAGTCAGAGTGCAGTGTGAATGGCAGAAAACATCATGCTTTTTCATTCGTGATCCTTCAGTAACCTTTCAATTTATGAAGCACTGTGCTCAGATTGACGGTGCCAGTGATTAAACCATCCGCTGGCAGGAAATCACCGAGCTGAGCCCCAGTCTGTCTGGGATTTGTACCCTGATCTTTCTGCTGACTTCCTGTGAGATGCTGGACAATCTACTTAATTTTTGCTTCTGCAAAAGCACAGTTTTAATCAAAGTCCAAGTGAGTGGGCAGACAAAGCCTTCATCATTCACTGCCTCTCATGGGTAGATAATGCTTTCTATTGCTTGGATCATGAGCTCTTCAGAGAATGGCAGTCCATACAGTGCACAGTGGATAGCAGATGGCAAACCTGATCTGAGGAATGCTAGTGGCAATTTAACTGGTTGGGGGGGTGGGTGTTGGTTTTTTTATTTTTTTTTTTCATTTACGTAACGACTCTGTGCTCTGCTTCTCCTGTCCATGGTGTATTTGTCCTCTGGTTAAATCTACAACACCTGTACGCAAAACAAGCATTTTGTCTGAGCTCCAAATGGTGATAGGCTATAGGTAGTTGAGCATGTAAAGAGAGTTAAGTTCACAGTGTGGCTAATGCTTATATAAAAATGTGAAGTATTTTATGCTAATGAGGATTAACTGGTCATCTGACCAATGCTAATAATGGATAGCCTTTTTCTCAATATGAACATCTGTTCAGTAGTAACAGATTCAGGTGGCAAACTGAGAAGCAAGTTGAAAAAACAGTGTCTCCCCATGGCAGTCCCTGGAAAGAACCATTTTCTTCCTAAGATATTATTGAGTCATTCCAGCTGGAAGTAGCCTTGGGAAGTTATTTTAACCCCTTGCCCACAGCAGGGTCTAAATCCAGCACTGGCCAGGACTTTCTCTGGCTAGATCTTGAAAACCTCCAAAGACAGACTCCACAGCCTTGCTGGGCAACCTGCTGCAGTGCTTAATTATTATAGTAAAGTTTGTAGTCACAGGTACAGTTCAGCTGGTAGTAGGTGTGTTACAATTTTTTGCCTTAAAAGTTTCAACTGTAATGGATAATATCAGAACTCAGACATCGTGTCAGTCTTTCTTCTAAATGACTCTGTTCATTTGTGTGTAGGTTGGATGAGCTGAACTTGTCCTGGTGTAAGTTCACAGATGCCCATGTCAAAGCAGCAGTCAATCATATTACTTCAAAAGTAACCCAATTAAACTTAAGTGGATACAGACAGAATCTACAAATGCAAGGTAAATAGCAGCATGGCAAACTCTTGTACCATTTTATAATATAAAGCAAGAGGCTTTATGTTTTCTTCTGCATGGCATCCTCTGTGAATACAGGAAAAATCATGCACTAACACTGACTTTGTGCTCTGTGTAGCTTGATGTGCTTCCTGTCAGACAATCTTACTCATGTCTCTGGCTTAGCCATGAGGGGTGGGATGATGTGTCTTTTGAGTTTAAAAACAGTCAGATGAAAGCTCATTTTATCTTCAAGTGAAAGGTGTAGCCCTTACTTCAGAAGTAAGGCATGGAATTGGGATACACTGGATGCCATGCTCCACTGCAAATTAGCTTTCCAGATAAGGTACTTGGAGTCTTCTTAAGAATTCTGCTATTGTGGCTGCTGAAGACATCTTCCAAAAGGGAGCAGTCATAGTTACTACTGATATGATGGCCTACCAGCTAATTTAGAAGGCAAATAATCTCAGTAATCAATATTAATTATTTACTTGATAATAGTTCTAAGAGGAAAAGTTGGGTAAGTGCAGCGTTGTGTAAAATACAGAGAAATCTAGATCTTGGGAGTGAGTGCAACAAAAGTATAGGTAAAAGGTGAAATGGGTTAGGTGATAAAAAGAAATTAACTTTCCCAATGCGCAAATGTGGCAATAGGACATTGGCTGATGCACAGGTAGGTAAACACAGGCAGGAATTTTTTTCTATATGCAAGAATTTCGGGCATCTCACCATTACTATGTCTTGGTAAATTTCGAAAGCAGTATCATTTGAATTATTCTCTTGCTAAGTTGCTGGCACAAGCGGCTTTTAGAAGTTTTCTTCTGACTTGATGGGTCAGTTTTTCCGAGGATTTAAAAAAGCCTGTAAAGTATCTTGATAGGCAGACTGGATGCTGTAAGTCTTAAGTGCGTATCTTTTTAACAAAAAGTTGTGTTTCAGCCGTGGAGCTCCAGTAAGAGAAAGTATAAATAAACATTTGTGGAAGTGAGCAGGGTGTATAAAGCACGTTCATCGTGTTAGTGAAAAATGGACTGACTCTGAGTGTCCTGTTTTCAGATGTTCAGACACTGGTGGAAAGATGTCCTTTACTTGTCCATTTAGATCTAAGGTAAGAAGGCCTTTGCAGCTTGTCCTTAAATTGTATGGTTCAGGGAATTGCCGATTCTATTGTAGTGCAGTAATTGTGTAGCAATAATGCATGATTGTGTAGGATTGCACAACCAGTAAATACTTTCTATGCTAAACCTACAAAAGATTTGTTTTCTGGCATGGCCTAATCTGGAGCAGGTAACTCACTTGAACATTTCTTTCTTACCTCAACATAAATGTTATATACAGGATTTGTAAACTAATAAGTCATTGTAGCCAGTAGGTAGAGTGGAAGAAAGCATTTAGGTGCATGCAGTTTATGAGTCTAGCATCGTAGAGAGGGTTTAGTTCAACTCTAATATAAATTTGTTTCTTGGCCATAGAACGGGGGGGTTGGGGAGGAAGGTGTATTTTGGTTTTGACCTAGTCAGTTAAAGTATCTTGAAATCTTGGTATGTGATTTTTATGCCTTTTTATGGCATGAGTTCTGCTGCAGAATATCTGCCTGCAGAGAAACTTCTGCTTCAGTGAAGATTGAATCACTCCCCCACAACACACACACCAGATACGGGTTATTCATCTTGAACAAAAAAAATACTTCAGTGGTAGAAAAAGAATTTTATATTCATTAAGTTTCTTAGCCTGAATTTTTGAAATGGCAGATTTACTGCTCCTTTAAACTTAAACTTTCATGTGCTCTTGTGTACAGTGACAGCGTGATGTTAAACCCTGAGTGTTTCAAGTATTTCCATAAACTCAGCTATCTACAGCATCTGTGTCTTAGCCGATGTTATCAGATATCCCCTGCTGACTTAGCGTAAGTAATCTCTAAATGGCTTTGATTTACTTCTCAGAGTATAAATTAATTTAAACTTGCTTTATTTTAGGCTTAGAATTGCAAGCACTGTTTTGAAAAACTTACTGGTGTGAGGAACTGGGAATAAGGAGCTGAGATAAAATAACCTGACTGCTACAGCACATACCTTTGAGAGTCCAGGCTAGAACCAAAAGCATCTGCAATAATCTTTCTGTGATGTGTACTCACAAAACTTGCAGTTCAGTGCATGCATCATGTCTTCCCTTCATGGCATTGTACTAGTGGTACTCATTACCATGAGGTACAGCTACAGGTACCAGTCCTGCCAGTGACCAGTATTGGTGTCAGTATTAGGCTTTCAGGTGCACAGCAAGGAGAGTATAGTTCTTTGGAAAAGTTGTTGGCAGTACTTGCTGACTAGACAACCTGTTTACATTCCTTTGCCTATTCTGTGCCTGTATCAGTTATTGGCTGCAACTGAAACACAGCTTAAATTTACTTGCTTGTGAGGTGGTTTGTTTTGTGGGTTTTTTTTTTGCCTTTTATTAGTATAGCAGCTATCTATCTTAATCCTTTCAGGAGGGATGTCAATCCTAAGGAAATGATCAACAAGAAAAAGATTGTGAGAGGAACAGGGCTATCAAAATGGGAAGCTGAAGAACCTTTTCTGTAGAGTGTGTGCTGTCATGGTGATAGCTTGTGTGTCTCTGCTTTTCAGTTTTGTCCAGTACTTGCTTATAGATACACAGTTCACATGATGACTGGGCAATCAAGAAGCCAGGGCTGGCTATTCACCAAAACATGACAACAGATTGGGGACTGATAGTACATAGGGGCTTGTGTCCTCTGAGCCGCATTGTGAAATTTCATCTGGGGCAATTCCTTACACTTGTTCTAAAGTTCAGGGAAGTCAAAAGGGAGGAAACAGTTCATTTTCACTCTATGTGAGAGAGAGAAACTGGAAAAAAAAATCAGGTTCATTATTAATTTTATGGTTGTGTTGTTTTTTTTTTTTTCCCTCTTTTCTAGGGAACTTGGTGGAATTCCAACATTAAAGACTCTTCAGGTATTTGGAATCGTGACTGATGGCTCCCTAGAGGTCCTCAAGGAATCTCTTCCTGACGTAGAGATCAATTGTTCATACTTTACAAGTATCGCAAGGCCAACTGTTGGTAGGAAAAGGAGCCATGAGATTTGGGGCATCAAATGCAAATTGGCACTGAGAAATTTTAGTGGCTTATGATCATGTACAATGCCCTGGATGCAATGAACATACTGTGTGTAGTGAAGCTCCTTAAGAACCAGAATGCTGGAGCACTTTCAGTGATAGTATTGTTATTGTAAAACGCATTCTGACTTGGTCTTGTGCCTTAATGTAGTTTCATAAATATTCTCACAGTATTTTTTTACTTACAGCCTTTAGAAACCTGATAATGTGGGAGCGATTGTGGACTTCTTTTTTTCTGTAACTGGGGATATTTTTTCAAAAGTACTGTGAAACAGCTGTTGTAATCAAACAGTGCCAGCCTATAGCGACTGTTGTATGTTCTGATGCAGCTTTTGGTGCTTTGTGGTGTTCTAAAGGTGCTTCTGGTTAACTCTACCAGTTCTACAGCTCTTGAAATGGCTTGTAGGGGTGCTAGATGTTTTAATAAGGCTTACTAAGGAACTGTCTTTGTCTGAGTTTGTGGACCTCAAAGTGAATTATGGGGTTAAACCCATTTAAATGCTCAGTTGAACAAGATATGTAGTAAGATGAGAAGCTGCCCACTGTTTGTGAGAGACAGAGTGCTGAATTTGAATTTACCAAGCCTGAAAACAGAAAATAGGAGAAAGGATGTTGACAGGAAAGCAGCTAAATAATGCAGAAGTGAAAAGTAATATAAAGGGGCCAGTGAAGTTTTTCTTGAGCAGAGCATAAAGATAATAAGAATATTAAAACAGGTATTAACAAAATACACTTTGAAAAACCTATTCAGAAGAAGCATCTGTAAATGTAGATGCTGATTATCAATTCTTTCATGGTGTGTTGCTGTTTTCTGATACAGTAAGGTTCTGCAATATTGAAGCTTCTGTGACCTTGATCAAGCTTCTGTTACCTTGATCAAACTTCTGTGAGCTTGATAAAAACTCGAAAAAAATATTCTCTTACTTCTTTTAAAGTGTAAGATCTTTCAACTGCAACTCGTAAACTGTCAAGAATTTTGCAGGAGGAAGACTCAAATGATTATAGATCTTGAACCAAAACCTCAGACTGCAGCGAATGCTGAAAGGGGTAGATGCTTTGGTGATACTAAGAAACATCAATTTATTACTTTTCTTCTGGTAATAGCTTATGTCTGTAGTATCACTTCTCTTGTATCTGTAACACTAATCAGTATGGGCTAGTGCTGGGTTTTGTTGGTTTGTTGTGTTTTTTTTTTTTTGAAGTCCTGTGAAAAGATGAGTAATTGTCCAAAACCAAACTAAGAATATGATCATGAACTTCTGTCTATGTCTATTATGATGGTCCTTTTGTATAAGCATGGAATGTTCCAGCAAATATAAGTGTTAGTTGAGAAGTCCTGGGGTAAAACTTGCACCCTGTGTAGGACATGAAGATGCTGCTGTTGTTTCCATGAATGCAGCAATCAAGCAGATGGTATTTATTCATGGATATTTAAAATGAGCCTACAGCATTACTGTGGGGTTGCTGCATAGTTTATAGTGTTTCCCATCTCAATCTGAAGAGAAGTGCTTGGGAATAAATACCTGGTAGTACAGAACAGATTCATTACTGTGGAAAGATTGTATGAGTACTAGAAATTAACTTTACTTTCTATAGTACAGCAAATACATCATTATCTTGTTAATCTCTTGTGGTTTGGTTTTTACAAAGTTCTAACTGTGTTGGTGACACTTAGAATCACAGAAGGGTTAGATCTGGAAGGCACCTTAAAATTACATATATCCAACACTCCTGCCATGAGCTTTACACTAGACCATGTTGTCAAACTTTAACTCACTACTGGGCTTGTGTCCCTCACAAAGGAGTTAATGAACAATATGCCTTGTGAAAACTGGAGTGGAGAATTAATGGGAGGTTGGATATTGGATACTGTGTTGCTTCAGTTTGCAGCCTTCAGTTTGTGCCTTAAATTGATTACTTCAAAAGTAAATCTCTGCAGCTCAGCACTAGTGTAAATTCTTCTTCCTATGTATCATGTAACTCCATACAACTTGTTTTGCATTTAATAAAGAGCTGAAGAATTGATAACTTGTACAAAGTGAAGGAAAATGTTTTTCCATCCATAACTTCCCACCAACTTTGTCATGGGTTAAAAATGGAAATTTTTAGGGAAAATCATGGTTTAGAGGACAGGGCATTATCACCAGTGTATTTTGAATTTAATAGGTTGTGCTTTAAAACCCTGTACAGAGTTGAGGCAGTAGTATGGCCTTTAGAAGGAACAGTCAGTCCTGAACTTGCTGGTTATTTTGAGTATGAGGTTCAGTGGTGAAAGAGAACAAAACATTTCTATTGCAAGGCTATGGGTTATGATGCCAGTTGTAACAAACACACAATGGAAGCTCTCTGGGTGAGGTACACCACTGGCCTTTTCCAAAGTGAAAAAAGTTATGCAGTAGCTCTAAGCAATGCCTACCAAAAGCTGCTACAGTGATAAGTTTGTGTTTTACTAAAGCTGTTATTTACAACTGCACAATAAATGAAAAGAAGCTTAACACCTGAAACGCTTTTGAAAGTTGAAATAAAGCACAGGACAACTTCTTGCATCTATGATGTTTTTATTCTTTTATTATATAATGCATACACCACTTTTTAAAAAAAAAGCAAAGAATGACAGGTCTAGTTTAGCAGAACACATTGTGGACTGGCATTAAATGAAAAGACCATGTATCTGATTCTGCAGGTAGAAAAGGTGTAGAATTCACTGCCAGTCAGCCAGATTAAATCAGTGTTAAACCAATACTCAGTCCTGTCACAGAATACTGTCTACCAGGTAAGGTGTCTGTACTGCAAATCCTTTGTAATAAAGGAACCTTAAAAAGGATTCTACAATTCTTTAATAAAAAAGGTAGCTGCTTACTGTTTATCTATTATAGATCTCTGAATCATCGTGGTTACTTAAATCAAGCATTCACCAGTAAATGCTTCAACAGAAGTGCAATTAAACATAGCCAAAACCAGTAGAGGCCACTCATGAGTAGGTCAGCTTTGCATTTTGCTATGTAAATTAGGAATCTGACTCTGAAATCTCTTCCTAAGCCCTAAACAGATCATACTTTGAGTCTTCAGGGTCTGAAAACATTGTCTTTTAGTCTCAGCATTCGTAACAAGGAATGACAGGCATCATTAAGTCTGAACATACACACCTTGATCAGACTAATCAGTCTCTATTAATACATTAAAGCACACAAATGTCTCTAAACAAGGTCTCTGCCAAGAATTTGTCTATGCAGGTATTTTAGTACACTTTCAATACCTAAACCTCTGATCTAACACACTGGTAAAGTCCTAGAAAGTCATAAGTTGGTCATAAAAATCATTTATTTATGACTTTCAACACAATGGCATTGGAGGGGGGTGTTGAATCTTAACAGTATATTGACTAGTGTATGAGACAGAGGCACATAAACCATCCTTAAATGGTTACAGATGGATTAGGAATAACTGACACACCCCAGTCTCTGTGTAGACAACTTTCTAAAAGATTAGTCTTTTGCATCTTTACATTTAGACCAGTTTTGCAAATAATTTCAGGCATTAACAGCTTTATTCTGATAGTTCCTGAACTTACAAAGTTATGAAAGAGTTATTTGGCTACTTTGATTTTCCCCTTCTGGTCTGCAATTGTGATAACTCAAGCAGAGAGTGTAAATAACTCAATCTGTAGCACACTTAAAAGGTGAAACATACATAAACAGTGACAGCTTACTCAAAAAGCTCCATCAATATCACATTTTCCTAAAATTGAATGGTCTGGTCAAATCAATTTTCTTTAAATTCTGGTTTAGAGTGAATACAAATGCTTAAAACAGTAGAAGGAAAAAAACAGTTTATCCGATTTCTTTACCTATAGAGATCAGTTTACATTTTGTTCGGCAATAAATACTGGCCACACTGGAGAACATTTCCATTAGCCCTGAGAACATCTGTTACAGAAGTCTCTTCATTCAAAAGTAGTTAGAAAACTCACTTTTGGGACTAGATTGGTAGTAGACAGGACAAGTAAACTTGTTTCAAGTCATGTAGCAGAAGAGTTCCTGTGTAAGAATCTTCATTTCATCAAATTCTGCCCTCTTATCTATGCAATTATCAGCACAGACTTTCAAAGGCAGTCACAGTTCACAGTTTGTCTAAAACATTATCTAAAGTGACTTCCTCGTCTGAGCTTTTTTACTATTGCCAACCTGCTTACCTATCTCATGATCAGAGGCATATAAAATTGAAATTAACTTGTTGCCAATTAAGTATCAGTAAAATTCCACATAGGACTGGAAATTTAAACTTTTTGTGGAATTTAAAAACCCATATCTGGAAAACCAGGTACATATAGTTATGAGCTTGTGCTCCAACTACTAGCACCCAGCACATCTCATTCTTCTTCAATTCCAAACCATTCAACTTACTAAGGCCAAATATCTTTTTTAATTATAGCCACCTACATACACTACTGAACACACTGTGAACACCCACTAGCCAACTAATCCATTCAGTGAAGGAGTATATCTTACTTCAGATGTTTCTTATATTTTATGTATTTTTATGAAAGGGCTTAATAATGCCCTTAGGTTTCAGTTCCAACTCTAGCCAAAAAGAAAAGAGCTACCTTATTCAAGATGTGATTAAACCTGATTTTTACTTCTGATGTGAATCTACAAAGTAGAAAAAATATTGGAAGAGAAAAAAAAAAAGTCACAAATTGTAAGAAACTACAAAGTTGTAAAATTTTTGAAAAGCATACAAAAAGTCTGTATTTCCATTTCTATTACATCAACATCAGGATTTACCAAAATCTATATGTCCTTGCATCAAATTGCTAGATTGACAGTCAACTTTTCTATAAAAGTATATATATGAAGGGGTTTAGTTTCATCAGTCCCTGACTGTTACTAGAAAAATGTACATCTGGATACTTAATGCTACTGACTTAATACCTGAACCCATCTACCTGTGTTTAAAAGTATATTCTTTCATGTTTGCCTTACAAGTGACAATGTCAGTTTTCACTGAGGTTAGTGGTGTGACTTCAGATACATTTCTTTCACACCAGATGCAAAAAGAGCTAAAAATCAGGCTAATGTTTCCCTAACCCAAAGGAATGAAAAGCATCTCAAACTTCCTCCAAATACTCTTGCATCCAGAAAGGTCAACTTCCAACATAATGCAGCATTATGATGTGCTGTCTATCCCCAGGAGTTCCCTCTCTGGATGCAAAGTTGTTTCAGCAGAAGACACTAGTGTCCTTCATTCTTCCAGCAGAACAGTGCACAGTGCATCCTCTGTATCAATCACTATTGAAGCTATAGCCCCATCATTGAACTCAAAAGATGTTCCTCCATCTATTACCATACATGCATCCCAACAGCGGGAACG